CAACAACTCAGCTCTTCAATCAAGATATCAATAAAGCTTCTCAAAGCTATCAGTCCGGCTCGGAATCCACCAGCAAGCCTTTAGCCAAAACAACAGAACTCGCGCCGAAAATGTCGAAGCAACAACAGCTTTCGTCCCCAGCGGACTCCCAAATGACCTTCTCAGACCCGCACCCAGCTGCTGCAGAAGCCAAGGTGGACCAGAACACAACGGATTACTCTTCCGATCACCCTTCAACGATACGGCAGACCGACCCGGAAAAAGGTGGTCCTCCAGCCGGCGGCGCAAAGCCGTCGTGGCCCGGCAGCGATGCGCCGGACGGAGGTGTCACGGCATGGCTTGTAGTTCTTGGCGCTTGGTGCACATCATTTTGCAGTTTCGGATGGGTGAACAGTAAGTCGCAGTTCCCGTTGCGACGTTGAGGCTGAAGTCTATTTTTTCTGCTTTCTTGGGGTTCTGGAAGCTAACGAAGGTTGATCTGCAGGTGTCGGAGCTTTCCAGGAGTACTACCAGAACGATCTGCTTCGCAACTACTCGCCGAGTACCATTTCATGGATTCCTTCTCTTCAAATCTTCTTCATGATGGCAATGGTAATTCTTGGTCTTCTCAATGCCTGAATTAGAATATGCAATCTGATACTTTCATAGGGCCCCGTCATCGGCCAGCTTTACGACCATTACGGTCCCCGCTACCTCATCCTCGCCGGCACTTTTCTTCACGTCTTTGGTCTCATGATGACCTCTCTCGCAACGCAATACTGGCAGATACTCTTGGCACAAGGTGTGTGCTCCGCCATCGGTGTCGCAGCCATCTTCCAGCCGGCACTGAACACGATCCACGGATGGTTCAACGTCAAGCGCGGAGCCGCTTTCGGCCTCCTCTCTACCGGCTCTAGCATCGGCGGCATCATCTTCCCGATCATGGTGACGAGATTGATCAAGTCTCTGGGGTACCCCTGGGCAATGCGCATCTGCGCTTTCATGATTCTCGGACTCCTCGTCATCGCAAACCTCACGGTCAAGGCCTTCCACCCACCACGACCCCAGAAGGTATCTATGGATCAGCTCATCCGTCCCTTTAAGGAGTATGAGTTTGTCTGCGTCGTCATCGGCTTTTTCCTCTTCACCTACGGCATTTTCGTGCCCATCAACTACATCCAAGTCCAGGCCCTCGAGGCTGGCATGGACCCCAACCTGGCGCAGTACCTGGTCGCCATCCTCAACGCCGGCAGCCTCTTCGGCCGAATGTTCTCCGGCATCATGGGCGACAAGATTGGCAAGTACAACATCTTCGTGGTGGTGTGCTACCTGACCTCGATCTGGATGCTCGCCCTCTGGATCCCGGCCAACACGGACGGCGCGCTAATCGCCTTCGCCGTCCTCTTCGGCTTCTGCTCCGGCGCGTACGTTTCGCTGATTGCACCCCTCATCGCCCAGATCTCGCCCCTCCACGAGATTGGCTTCCGCACGGGAATCACGTTCTTCACGAACTCTATTGGCGGTCTGACGACTAACCCTATCAACGGAGCCATCTTGGCTGGTTCCGGTGGGTGGGTCGGCATCAAGGTGTTCTCGGGTGTGTTTTGCATTGCAGGAACGACTTTCATCCTTGCAGCGAGAATTCACCGCACCGGATGGAAGGTCTTCACTGCATTCTAGATTGTACTCATGGCAAGGAAGCATTGTTATAATACTAATGACGGACTGGGGCAACAGCATACATTAATACTTCCACGAAGGATTCTGGCATCAGCATATAGACATCATTACTCATTTTTTATTCAATACCCTCAACTCTTTCATACTCTCCTCACATCTAGCGCCTAGGCAGCTCGTTCAATGTAGTTGAACACTGAGGCCATATTATCAAAGATGAGCGAGTGTTGTAAAGATCTGACGTGAGAACGTGTCATTACCAGCAACACAATCGCCATGTCAAAACAGTCGCTATGATAACCTAGTCAATAACTCATGGCCGATGAAATTATTGAACGCTGTCCGCTACAACCATCGCGGCTGTTGAATTCATCACATTCGATTTACAGTTTAAGAGCAAGGACCTTCTAGCCCGCACCGTGCAAAAGCTTGATCAATCAAAGACCTCGTGGTGTAGAACCCCTTAGCTACGTTGAGACGAATCTTGAGTCGGAGAACCATGATCCAAGATTGAAATGGTCCTCAAAGCCAATCGGTCACTTGGCCACCTTGCGTTTGTAGTCAAGACCACGCCTGGTTCCAGTCGAGGTCGTCATCGTGGCCACCTTATCGACGGTCCGATTCCCTACTGCACAACGTTTCGATAGAAAGCTTCTGTATGGCAGTTGGGTGCTAATGGGGCAGCTTAGTTGACGTCAAAAATGAATTGAACATATTCCAGGCAGGAATATAGAGTATAAGCAGATGAAGCATCGGTCCAACTTTACTTTTCAACTGTTTCGAAGGCTGAGACTGGCTGGTAACCAGAGATCTGGAGATCATTGGAAGGCACATTGGAGGCGTCTTCTAATAGCAAAGACTTGCTCTGTTTGTCCCCATAACAAGTCCATTTAGTATCGCAGCCGGCCCAATCACAAGCTCAAGAAGTTTCTCAAATCTCCTCGGAAACTGCCGCGTATTGAAAGAACGCCGTCGACTGAAAGTTATGACCGACTTAGGCATCATCTATGAAAGTAGTTAGACCTGCTAACGATGCCCGAAGGCAGCGTACATATATGTGCGCGTACTAGAGGGGCAGATCGTAATGGCCAAGGCAGTGGTCATGACCTCGAAAGAAATTCCGCATTTCATAGCTGTTCATTAGCAGGGCAAAATCCCATAACGTGACCTACATAGGCAAAAGTTGAGAAACGGGATATACATCTGTCGTGTTAGTTGTTACAGGCAAGTGGTTCAAGAGAGGGCTGGCCCCATAGGCTTTTGGAACGAACGGCATGTCTTCCCTTAACTCTATCAAGTCGATAGACGTATCATCAATAACATTCATCAGACTTTGAGTCTCATAGCTCATTGGTCGTAAAGGAGAAGCCTGATGGGTCAAGGGCGAAAGGCGGGGGGTTATGAGTAGATAACTATAAGGTTACGCCAGGTATTTCCTTTCGGTTTGATGAAATTACTTTCACGTACGATCTAATTAAATTGAGCAACAAAAGAATAATCACAGACTCACTAGGCCTGTAGCCTCAGTCGTCAATGTGCGCTGGTATTGCCTACAGCAACTCTGGTCACATTTTTTAACCTTTGACTAGTGCCCACCATACGATCCCATAAGACCACAAAACCGGGTGACTGAACGGTCACTTATTGCGTAAGCTGGACTATGAAAATCTTGAGCTTGCATTCAATCGTATTAGAGTGTGTTGATCGGAGGATTCTCCAATAGCCACTATCCATTATGGAAAATAGAAAGAGGAGGCGGACGTTGAAGTTAGGTAGTCCACCACGCGCTCTTCGGTAACAATTTGAGTAGGAACTCCAGCCATGATTCCAGACTCAATCAAGCTTAGATATCGACCGTGTTCCCTAAACGGCCAGTCTCAACTTGACCGACTTCAACTCCGTTAATTTCAACCCATGCATCCACTCGGCCCGTACCTAGGCAGCACCGTAATTAAGCCCTCAGCACCAAATTTGATCACAAGTGACATTAGAACCATGGCCGGATGAGAGAGGCAGAGTATCACCAGTTTAGCTCTTGGAATTGGCATCTGATACCAACGTAACCCCTCAGTCACTGCTCGAATTGAAGTTCCGAGTCTTCACATCCCGGCGACACCAAAAGGTTCGCTCCTTGAAGCTAGCTCCCCAATCCAGCTGTAGGAACAGAACCCTGACAGTAGACCTAGAAATCGCTCGAAAACCCTGACGAATTATTGTAGCAACCACCTGCGTCTAGCGTGACGGCGATCCTTCCCGATAGATCCAGGATTCAGATTTTGCTCTACCTGAAGGATTTTGACACAAGCGACGCTGTACCCTGAGGGCGTCAGAACCCCCGGAGTCTTCTCTATCCCTGTCTAGGACTACCAGACTGCCTATAGGAACTTTGTGACTGTTGGATGATGGTATCATGGCCCGTACGATAAGTGCGAGAATTGCCCTTGCTGTTCTTGTGAAGAGCTCGGAATGAAATGCGACGAATAGCTTTGTGGCCACACAAAGTTGGATTAGATGATTCCCCCAGCCTTCAGGATTCATGTGTGATAGTCTGTCACGTCTGGCTTGTCTTACGTTTAACCTCAACATTCATCATAGCCAGCCCTTTGCCTCATCGTTTTCGACTTCCCATTAGTTTCGTGTTGTCAAGATTATGTACGTGCTGTCTGCATCGCCCTAATCCAAGCTGTGGGCACCTAGAAGTGTCCCACAGTCCTCGCATGATCTCAAAATCCCCAAAGCTACTCCTTCACATTGCCCTCATCGGCTCAAGCTTCGGCCTATAAGTCGGCTTGGCAACCCGTCTGTTGCGAGTCGGACATCGAGTCCAACCTTCCGGCCGAGTTGCTCCGGGCAGGCCGGGCCCTTTGCGAATTCCAAGTAGCGATCGGCGAGGAAAACGCCCCATTGGTGGAACCTGCCTCGAACATGTAGTTCTGATGCACTCTGGCTTACCTCATTCGCATCTGGCAGCGGATAGCTCCGCGATCTGCATCCGTTCCCTGAATTTCTCTGTGGATTGTCAATGTAGGTAGACGGACATGACGATGTCCTGCGAGTCTTCCAAGCGGACTTGCTAGCATAGAGACTAGTGAGCCACGCGTACGACAAGGACACGAGAACAGAGGCTTCAACCTGGCTACTTCATATCCTCTGGCCCGTCTCGGAGACACGGATGAGCTGAAGATGGGAGGGGTGATGGCATCATCTTCAACGTGACTACTCGAATTGAGGAGAACACCATCAGTATAAGAAGTCTTTCAAAGTCCCTTCCCTCACTAACTCTTGACAACACATGTGGACATTTCATGAGCTAGACTAGATCACCTGAGAGGCCCATCACAAGTATGATTTTGACATTCTACAGTTTTCCATCATTACTGGTACTTGGTGTTCTGGCGACCCATGGTATCGCAGCATACCCAGGCTTCGCTGGTCTGAAGACACTTTTCACGTTGTAAGTTGAAAGTTTCTGAGACACCATTGATCTAGGGTTGATGTAAAATACAGTGGAGATTCTTATACCAGGACTGGATTCTATGTCACTCGCGATCAACCCTCCATTGCTAATCCCCTTGGGAATCCGACGTACCCGGGCCCGACCAGCGCAAATGGAGAAAATTGGATCCAATACTTGACCACCAAATATAATGCGTCTCTACTATTGACCTACAACTTCGCGGCGAGCGGTGCCACTGTCGACAACAGTCTCGTGACGTCCAGCATCGACGTTGTGAGTCAAGTTGAAGAGGGATTCATCCCCAACTATACCGGGACAAACCAAACCTGGGATGTCGAGTCTACCCTGTTCGGCTTCTTTATCGGTATCAACGACATTGGAAAGTCTTATACCAATGGCAACTCCACGGACCTTCACCCGATGATCTTTGATAAGTACGAGAAGTTGGTGGAAGAAGTCTACGAGGCGGGTGCTCGGAACTTCCTGTTCCTCAATGTACCGCCGCTTGAGCGGATGCCGAGAACAACTCAATCCAGCGCCGCTGGAGAGCGGATTCCTCTTGAGAAAGCCGCGGTAGCAGACTGGAACGAGCGTCTTGGAGTATTTGTTAAGAACTTGCGAGAGGCTCACGGAGATGTGACTGTATTTCAGTACGATACCTATGGATTGTTTGACAGAGTCATGAATACGCCCGAACGCTACAGAGAAACGGCAGTCTATAAGAACACGACGACATACTGCTCAGCATACCAAAAGTAAGACGGGATTTTCAAGCCCATACCCGGCGAAAGATATGTTTGACTAACACCTGGCCTAGTGGGACGCCTGAGCCAGACACTAAATGGGACAACTGCACCTATGCTGCTAATGAATATATGTGGATTAACAGTCTACACCCGACGTCGCCCGTTCACTTGGTACTGGCGAGAAGTATCTCAAGGGCCTTGGCTTGATCTCAAAATCTCGAAACGGACTGTTTCAGATGTGCATGTCCTCATGTGCCAGAGCTGCAAGACACTTCCCCACGTACCTAGTCTTCATCATAGAAAACAAATGCTCTGACTTCAATGCTCGCTCTCGGCTCACCAGCGCCTTCTGGCAAGTCAGTATCCTTGAAAGCACAGTGAGGCACTCTTCTGGGAACACCAGGCTTCGTGCTTGAGTCCACTTGTTTGAAGAACAGCACGTCATCAACCTGTTGCTGGTCTTTGAAATACCACTTGTGCTGTGAAGCCGTGGGCGGACGAACTTCCACGGCTTCAGTGTCGTGATCCGGAAATCGTACTGGTACAAACACCAAGTCCGAGTCTGGTATAGTCCGGGCATCCGAGACCGCGAAAGGGTCACGAGTTATCGGGCGAATGGGTCGCCACATCTGCGGACCTTTGTCAGCTAATCTGGAGTTTGTGCGAAGACCAGAGTTTGCTTGCGTTGATAATCTGGTATCGGGGCTTCTTGAGCAATTCTTCTGCTCTTTCCTTCAGCCATCTTTCGGCGACTCCTTCAGCTGCCTTGAATGACTGGTCCACATGTACTCCATATAACGGCGCCGGACCCTTCGGGCCTTCGCCGTCTTTGGGACCGCGACGAATGATGTGTGTCATGATATGAACCAGGCAGGGCTTGGGCCTATGCGTGTCAGCATCATGCTAGACTTGTGGTAGTTAGGTCGGGCAGAAAAAACTTCATCGCAACACGAACGGGGAGTCACTCACATGTTCTCGGTCTCGGATAGGACTTTGTAGCACAGTTCCTCCATCTCAGGGTAGTTTACCCGCTTAATTTCCTCATCATCATCCCAGTTGGTTAATCGACTTTGATGCTTGACATAGTGGAAACCTTGAACATCGAGCGTGAATTCATCCTCTCTGCCAGTGATATCGGTGATAGTTGTTGGGATCTCGACTTTGGGTTGAGGCTTGCCGGGTTCCGGACTTTTCCATCACAAATTAGCTTTCCAACGAATTGAGTCGGAATTGGCATCTTACCCTCCAATTATCATAGGCACCAAAGGTACGCCTGGATCATCAAAATATTTGATCTTTGTATGTACTTGACGTCCCTGTTGTCCCATTTCGATCATTGTTGAAGCGTTCGAAACAGTTTTTCAAGAAGCTCGCGAGTGCCTCTCAGCCGGCCGTCGAGAAGAGGGAATTTCTGCAGGTTTTGAAAGGAGTTCAGGGTATTGTATACATGGGCATATCTGTTTATCTGTTCTATCGTCGCGAGTCAGGATCTTGGGGTAAAAAGAGTGCGGCAACATGGCCACCCCGGCTGGTAGGAGGAGAACATGCATCAATCCCCATTTCGATAGGTAGTCCTAAGATCTCCTGCATTGTTGGAGATAACCCCGACCATTCAGTACTGTCTCAGAACTGAAAAGACAGTGGGTTAGGCAATGTATGAAGTTGTCAAGGCCCAGCCCGAGCTTTGAACGAGTATTCGGACGCATAATCGTGTAAAGTCCTATTTGCTTCACGATGCCAAGAGCTGACGTTCGGTTCCAGAAGCTTGGCTTAGAAAGCGAGTCCAGCGTTCGCAGCGAACGGCCCGCTGCCCCTCCGTCTGTAGCGTCTAGTCCGCTGTGGGAGCCGGAGATGCGCATGAATCGCGAAGGTTTGCAGGGAGTCAAGCAGACGACCATACAAAGTCTCGGTTGGTCTTATCTCTGAGCGATCTGCATGGGGCTCGTCTAATGACATGTCCTCCAGACTGGGCCATTCCCTGTAGTGTTGCACTTATTTGGGGTGCTCGGTCATGATTCGTGAATGGGTTCTGTCACTCGACTTTGCCAAAGAAATCAGATGTTGCTTGTCTGATTATTTTTGTGCATCGCAATCGCGGTATTTCCAATCGGTTGGTAAATGCTCCTCTAGGCTCTGTTTCAGCAGCGGGACTACCCGAAGACGCTACCCCGAAGTGAACGTATCGAAGAGGATTGGATGATCATTGATGGCATCAACTCAAGCCAATAAACCACGTGGTTCTCTGCCATGGCTGAATAGTAGTGGTAATACATAGGAGATTCGGTCCACGGCAAAGCTCAGTACGTCATCAATGTAAAGCCATGGGATCTAGGCTCACGTTTGCAATGCTTCGAACATTTCGCAGCGATTTTTCACATTTGGTACTATTATGTAGAAGAGGCTTGCGTTGAGTATTAATAGATGAAGGGACTCAGGCACGAAAAGAAAACGCTATTATTACATCCAACTCCGTGATTGACGCAGCACGGGCGGCACTCATCTTCACAAAGACACAACAATCTTCTTCGCCGAGACTCCCTTGTAGCTGACTTCGAATGCCTGTTGTATGGATTCCAAGCCCTTGCCAACAACATGCGGCTTGGGAGCCGGGATAAACTTGCCCTGGGCCAGTGCTTGAGGTAGGAAGTCTCGGTAAATCGCCGTACCGACCTCGTTCGCCATAAGATCGCTTCCCCAGATGAACTTGGTTCTCACACCGCTCGTCTTGCACTTGAATGTCGCGGTTGCGCTCTCGGAAGCCATCGCCCACAGCAACGAAACAGTTTCCGAAACGTTTGTGGGCGGTCTACCAGGCCCGGCGACACTGGCTTGCGCGACAAACTTGCGGCCCTTGCAAGCGGCCATGATGTTGATACAGGGGATCAGAGACCCCGCTCCGATCGCGATTGCGCCAGCAGACTTCCGTTTCTGGAATGCCTTGATAATGTCTTGAACAACAGCCGGACTGCGATAATCAAAAACTTCGGCGGCACCGAGAGACTTGACATAGTCGAAGTTCTTCGGGGATGCTGTCACAATGACTTCGTAACCAGCCCCAGCGGCAAGCTGAATGGCGTTGGACCCCACGCTTGTCGAGCCGCCCCAGACTAAGAGCGTCTCTCCTGTGGATTTTGCGGAGACGTCTGGGTGTCTAAGACCGACAAAGTCCTTCATGAAGAGACCGCAGGCAGCAGTCGAAGCACCCAAAGGTATTACACAGGCCTCCTCAAAAGTGATTGAATCGGGAATCTGAGAAGTCAGGTCGGCTCGCAATACAACGTATTCTTGAAAACCGCCTTCTGATGACTTATTGCTCCGCTTGTCGAGACCTACGGCGTGGCCAACAACACGGTCGCCGATCTTGAACCGGTCCTGAGCACCTGGGCCGACTTCGACTACATCGCCAGAGACGTCGTTGCCGAGGATGCAGGGGTACTTGACCCAGTCGTAGAGTATGTCGCCGGTCTCTTGCTTGAACCAGTCGACTGGATTGATAGCTACAGCTCTATTTCGAATCACGATCTCATTCTGACCTGCTGGTGTGTATGGGGCTGACTGAACCTGCAAGGGCTTGGCCTTTTTAGCTGTCAGCCAAGCGGCTTGATTGGTAGGCATCGTGAGAGTATGGAAGTATAAGAGACTAGGGGGGTTTGAAAGAAGAAGGTTCCGTGAGGTGATGAATACAAAAGCTGATATGCTTCTGATACGGAGTGATAAATGTTGTTGGTTTCCCGACCTATTATTTGTTGTGTTTCGCTCACGTTGGGTATTTATACATCTCAAAATTTGGGATCTCGGCCAACCTTGACGTTTTGATGTCCAGACGGGATTTAGGTATCTCCAGATTGCACGCATCATTGACGACGTCGCGGATCGCGTCTCAATTTGAAGGACTTCACGATCTCATCCCAGAGATGATTTGCTTCTCATCTGGCGCAGGATGCTTCTAAAACAGGTCTAGCGCCTGTCTGCCACGATGTCGCTGTGCATGCCGGCAACGGTTTGTGGGTGATGGATTCCTGGGGGCGTCCGGCGCTAACTCTACATCGTATCCCAGCTCCCCCTTTTGTTTGCTCAGCTTACTCTGATGTCATGAGGACGCCCTCAGCTGATTAAAGGGCCTGGAACGGATACATGTCACTCCGCTACGGCCAGGCGAAACAGGCCCTCCGATGCTTGTATTAGGATCACCAAGGAACCCTCACCGTAACACCAATCCGCATCATCACTCCGACGGGACTTGCAGGAGTGTCCCGCTGCCGGGCCCGTGTGGATCTCGGAGTTTGCGGCTAGGAGACCATACACTTCGGCCGGCGTTCGGTATCGACCCCCGAGGGGGCGTGAGGGGCGGGTACATGCCGATAATCATCAGCGCGCAAACGTCGCTTGGAGTCTTGAGCAATCATTGGCCAAGATGCAATGCTTTCTTAAATGATTACACATTTACATCATATTACTTCATTAAGTTGACCGGACTTACGGTCACATCAGCTATCTCGCTATTCCATGCGGATCTCTTCGACCTCCCAAGTTCTCTCTACTAGAATGCCAAATTCGCCCAAGAAATTAGCGGCTCCTTCAGACATAGAGATACTGTGATTGCGAGACGTCGTAACCATAGTGCTTGTCGCACCATTTTGCAGATTCAACCCCGACTGGTCACCTTGACTACCGCCCGTTGAGCTTCGAAGGAACTTCTCCTTAGTGAATACCTCAAAGACCTTGCTCAAAGAACTTGTTGATCTCGGGGATCCATGATTGCTGAGAGCGCTGTTTGTTCCTGTGTGAGGCCATCTGCCGTGTATTAAATCGACTTCGCTGCCGTTAGACCGAGTGTTGAACTGTTGTGCCGTATTCGTCTGCGACCCGACGGTCACCATGGCAGACTGTCGCCGAGCCATCTCTTGGTGTCTTTGGAATAGTTCGTTCACTTTTCGATCCAGAAGCTGACGGATGGTCGCTAGAGATGCCGTGGTGACGCCAACTCCCAGCTCCGCGATCGTCCAACACGCTGTACTCATGTACCCTTTCGGCGGCGCGTGTGTCAAACTCCAGATACGACCAGCCGACATAATGGGAACTCTGGATGCATGTGAGTCAAGGTTCCTTTACATAGTAAACGCCAAAGATGCCAGCGGCTGAAAAACTCACAATGCGCCAATGCCGAACACGCCCAATGCTGCCCAACGTTGACTGCTGTTCAGCTTCAAGCTCCAAAGAGTAGGAAGAGGCAAGAAGAGAACAATGACATCGGTGACCAATGTTCCTGTCGCATTGAAGTACGTCGACAGCACGCTCGGAAGACACTTGGCATTTCGCACACTGTGATCCCAGTTGGCTTCTATCGGCAAGCAGATCAGGATCTGGAGCAAGATCTGTGCCAATGTCCAAGCGGCGACAAAGATGATGGCGCCAACATATACTCTTCTCATGATGCGCACGTTCCGGAAGATGTGATAGAACTGAAATAGGAAAGTCATCTTCAAGGCGGCCATGGCAATGTTGTATGTGATCCCGACGGCATAAGGGATCTACCGGCATCGTCAATATGATGAAGCGCTGAAGTCAACAGTGAAGGCTTACTTTTGACCCTTCGTTACTGGCTGTGACCATGGCCAGCATGGTAGGTAGATACACTTTTGTGAAAACACTCTGCATGATGTTCACAGCAATAGTGCTGAACTATGCATCTTGTGAGTAGGCTTGCTTCTTGTGGCGGGGCAGGTTTAATCGTACCAGAGCGAGTAGGGCCCATGCATCATCTATGCGAACTTGCTTCGTGATGAAATAACGCGTGTAAAGTCGAGCGATCACAGAGGCAGTTGTGATAATCGTGATGATGGCGCCGAATGCGATCGTTGCGTTGGCCTGGCTATTGCTGTAGACAAAGTCCGTCTGAGCCTGGGGCGCATCTCCTTCCGGTGTCAACGGCACCGATCCATCGGTGGGTAATGGTGGTGCGCTCATATTCTCACGCAGAGACGACAAGCTGAATGCCGCTCGTATGAATCAAGAGCATACCCATAGACTTCTGAACCGACCGACAAGTCCCATTTCTCAGTGAAGGATGAATTGAATGTGGATGCGGAGCTGCAGCGCAGCGAAGAGCAAAAGTGGTGAAAACAAGCTCTTTTGACTGAATTGGTCTAACTGAGTACGGGTGTTATTTTCAACTTCCTTAAACAAGCGAGCAAATGCAGGCTAGACTTGAGGAGGCAGGACGCACTTTAGTGAAACAAGGAGGCAGCATGTTTAGACCAAAAAGTGCTTTCAACGGGTGTTGGTAGCCGTGATTGCAAGGCTATTTTGTGGGATTGACGGAAAGGTTGCTTAATTCGGGAACTCAACGCCGGGACTTGTCAACCAAGTCGAACTCACCCTCGCCCTCTTTGTGCATCCAGGGGTTTATAGTGTCAAATTTCTGCCGGCTGATGGAGTTTACCAATACCGTTGGCCTACTGGACCCTTGTATACAGGGTAAGTGATGATTTCGACTCGTGCAAGAGTCTAAAATGGCCCTATGGGGAATCCAATCTGCTGCAGAAACCGGGTCATTGTCCTCAATTTCGACTGTGGCCGAGCAGACCCTCCCCACTGAAAGTGGTGGCATGACACTACAGAGATACGAAAACCTAGCCGCTTAAGCCGACCCTTGATCATAGTATGGAGGAATAGAAGGCACGGAAGGGTTGAAGGGTAGGATTGTCAAGTGTCACTGTATCACACTCTTGCGATGGCGACAGACCATCACGCCTCCTGAAGTTGTGCGACCTTTGCCACATCTGTCCAAGCAACCAGTTGGCACTTTTCAAAGATGATATCGTCGTCCGCGGTGCGTTGATCTATCGTATTTCGAAACAGTAGATCGCCCGAGAAGAGGCCTGTGCGAGAACGCCTTCCACTCGTGCCCCCGGGCACTAGGTTTCGTGCATCGTCTTGTTTGGCCTCGTGGCTTCCAACTCAACGTCTGAACATAACCGATGGCATGGGTCATCCGAAGGTGAAATAGTGGAAGATCTGCGCGCCTTCAGATCATCACATCACATCACCCTGGTTCCGATCCAAACAACGCAGTGGACTCTGCGACGAACGGCCACGATGCCCCTCCGCAAATCGCACGTCCGTGGGTACGAAGTGCCCCGAGCTGGATTTCGAGGGGGGTTTTGTCACTCTCAAGAGGATTGGAGAGTTTTGTAAGAGGAGGGGGACATTAGATGTGCTGGATGCGCCTGCAAACCTCGACATGCGTCCATCCATGTCTGTTCGGGCACCACTGATTCCTTTATCGACTGGAAAAACAATTCTTAAGAACACAGTGGCACAAATGAACCGTTTTTGTAGTCGAGGACATGGATGTGCGTGATGTGGAAGTAGCAAACATTTCTGACTGGTTTGCAAATAATAACTCAAGATCGCCATCTCAATCGCGCCACGCCCACAATTGCCGGGGCATCTTCATATTGTGATGAGCTTCCATGTCAACCCTCTGGCAGACTTCTACCGATCACTCCGAACATGAGGTAGAGACAGTAGAGATTCTAGCCTAGATGCTTACGCCACTTCTAAGTTCCCTCTGGCTCGAATGGATGGACTGCTGCTCGCATGCTCGGCACGAAATTCTGCTCTGGCGGCCATCAGCCAAACACCCACATTTCCCACAACGACCGCCACTATCCGGCTCAGAGGACCGAGTACTCCGATCCTCGCTGGGTCTTTGAGGAGGGTGGGGTACCGGGTTGACACGAAGTTTGCAGACTGTGGAGACCAAACATACACAGTAAAGTAAGCTGTGCCACCGACGCAGATGTTCGTCCATATTCGGGATCCGAGGTTCTTAATCACCTGTTTGCCCCTATCTCCACGACACTGCCAGCTGCCAGTCGATATGCTAGATTCGTGAGTCCCTATAATGTGTTTCGTAGCGAGAGCCTTCAAAGACACATGGATGTCTCTCATACACTCGCTCGAAAGAAAATTCTAGACTTAGGACGAAGCAAGAAAGGGACAATATCAACTAGACGATCCCACCTCCACAAACAATTCCAACTCTACGGCAAGCAGCGAGATTGGGCCAGCTATATCAACTGAACACTCATGTCACTGCCTATTATCGAAACCTTAGCTAGTTGTATTGACATCAATACCACTTCGGCATTCAAGAAGTAGCAGAGTCAAAGTACTATGGTGAACAAGTGTATGTACCTTCATAATAGTGTCTTCAAGCATGCTTTTTTGGTTGCTTCACAACATGAGTCTCGCGGAGGCTTCTCGTCTACATTACGCATCTTACTGATAAGGATCACAAAGTGAGGCATCTGCTTACTTGTTTGGAGCCTAAGGAATTTCACCTGCCATTCAGGTCCTTCCGAGATATTGACCAAGGTACCATAAGGTACTCAAATAACGGGTGCTTGTGTAACTAAATCAGAAAGGCAGACGAATCACGGAGATGATAAGGGATTCTTCTCGATCATAACGTATGTTTCTTATGTGCTACCGCGGTTATCGGCTGGCTTTCGATACAAGGCCGGATGGCCAACTATAAACTACTATCTTCAAGAAGAGAAACTGGGTGCTATCCAGTCACACCTTAGGTTTCAAGACTACGAGGTCTTAATGTATACAATGTCTAGATCTTTAGACACGACGGAGTGCCTTGGCGCTGCGTCTGGTAGCGGAGCTCACGCACTGGGAGTACCACTCGTTCTGAACAACGCAGGAAGTTCCAGCGACGCAAACGGTGGCACCAGTCCAGCCCTTTCCACCGCACTGGTGGTAAATCTGAACGATGGCCGACTCAGTGGAGTTGCCAGCGGCAGTCTGCTGGCAGGATGCTCTCTTGGTGGAAGTGTGAGTGCTGGGAGTGCTAGGAGTAGGCTTGGCCTTGGAAGTGTGAGCAGCCTTGGTCTTGGAAGACTGAGCTGCCTTGGAGGAATGGGCGGCCTTGGAGGTGTGGGAAGGAGGGGCCTTGGAAGTGTGGTTGGCGCCAGAGCTGGGAGTTGCGACAGCAGTAGGGGTAACCTTGGGGGTGTGAGTCGAGGGGGCCTTAACCGTGACCTTGGCGCTCTGAGTCGCGGCAATGACAGAGGTAGCCTTGCGGGTAGAAGTGGCAACAGTTGTAGGGGTAGAACCGGAGCCGGAGCCGCCAAGCTTAGCGGGACCGGCGTTGCCAACGACAAGGCTGGCGACAGTATCGGCAGCAACGGGCTTGACGAGGTATCCGCTAAGCTTAGCGAAGGTGGACAGAACGTTTGTCTGGGCCAAAGCCTTGAATTGGCCACTCTTGGAGTCGACACTGTTGATCACGCAAGCACGGCCAATCTTGGAGGAGCAGGCAGCAGCAGACTTGGCATCGGGGGCGTTGAAGCTGTTGGAGAAGACCTGGCCGACGTAAGGCTGCTTAACGTTCTCGAACGCGTTACCCTCAATGAGAGCGAGGGTGGTAGTGAAAAGCTCAAAAGTATGGCCCTGGACGTTCTGGAAGAAGTTATTGGTAGCGTGGAAGGTACCCTTGGGGCCGAGCTTGGGGGAACGGCCAGAGACGTTGACGTAGTAGTTTCTGTCGATGGTGATCTGGTCTCCATCACCAAGATGCATCTCAGTCCAGTAGTGGTTGCCGTTGCAGGTGGTTGAAGCCGGGGTGGCTCCGTCGAAGTAGTTGTTGGAAATGGTGACGCGAGACCCGGCGAAGTGAGTGACGATGAACTGGCGACCAATCTTGGAAATTCTGTTGTGGTCAATCCAAACACCATCGTTGCCGCCCTGCAAGTCGATGGCATCACCTCCCCAGACAACAGTGGGGTTCAGGTTGGTGATCTCGATGCCTTGAATGATAACGTTCTTGGCGTTGGTCTTGACACGAAGGCCCTTGCCGTTGAGTATTCCCTTGCCCTTGGAGCCGAGAATGCTCTTGTTGCTGCCGACGATGAGGGGTTCGGTAGCAGCGAGGTCGTAGCTGACAGTGGTGGCAACGTTGTCGCTGGTGCCGCAGGAGAGGTCTCCAAGGAAGAGCTGGCCGCCGTTGGCAACTGTGCAGCTCTTACGGCTGCAGCCCTTGCCCTTGGCAGAGGTGCCTGTGAAGTCGTACTCCTTGTCGATAATGATGGTACGGGGGGTATCGTCGGCAAGCCACTGAGTGAGTTCGTCGACGGAAGAGGGGATGGCAGCGGCGGCGCTACCACCACCAGTGACACCCTTAGCAAAGCCGTAAGCCGTGCCAATGACAGACTGGGCAGACGCCGAAGTTGCGGCCGCGGCAGCCAAAATGGCGGTTGCTGAGAAACGCATATTGTGTAATACCAGAAAAAGAATGTAATGTTTGATAAAAGAATGGACGCGTGAAATCGATTTGAAAGAGTGACCAAATCACGCCAGCGTGAAGCTGAGTTGTAGTTGAAGTTGATAATGTAGAATGTACAGAAAGAACGACTTGGAAGAGAGGAGAGAAACGAGAAAGGAGGGAGGGCAGTTACTTTGTCTCTGTTTCTTATACTTCAGATGTTTCTTTCCAAAGTGAGGCTCATGCAGGAACCACTATAGAGTTGAGGGTCCGGATCGTTAGGCAACGACCACGATTGGGTGGTTGTTTACGAACTATGCCTGATAGAACTGCCAAGTTATTGGGGGCAGCGGGTAAGTGGACACGATCATTGTGATGGCCAAGGTCCTGACACGAGTTTGCACCACGCGCTCATTAGCGCGGTGATTAGTCCATTCATTCCCATCGGCCGAGATCCGTCCTGCCATCTTAGGGCTGTTGAGTTGCATCGTGACGTGTGCCCCTTTCATGATGGGGAAGATGGAGAGCAGAGGCCAACAGCGGAGCTGACCACCATGGGCACGTTCCTGTGTCTGACCAACCCGGTGCTACTATCACTTATCACGGACTTCGCGGATGATGGTCATCGTGTTTCTCCGCGGAATTCAGCGAGCTCTCGATCCTGCGTAAATGGTCTTTTGCTGCGATGTCTTCATACAATTCTTAAATCTCGTGCATTCATCAAGAAATGGGATTCGCGATCTCCAAGTTCTGTCACTTGATCTAGGATCTCTCTCAAGTGCTTACTACGCCATGGTCTCGATTGCTTTTGACTTTGAGTTGGGTTGTCACGATAGCGAAGCATCAGAGTTTTCGCACCACCTTTTTCTAGAGGTTGAAGAGAAATACTGCCCGCAATGAGACTTCAGCAGCCGCCCGAAACTTTAGATGATGAATCGACCCCTTTAATCTCCATTGCGGCCACAAAATGGGATCACGCAAATACGGTCTAAGGAATCGGCACCACGATGAGCAATAGACGAAGACCTCATATGCAAACACTGGGTAACATGTCGCCTCACCGTGCTATTTTACTGAATTGGGGATTTGTGACTGGTGTGAAGTATATCTAGTTCCATCTCCACCTCTTACTTTTGGCACGTACTAAGGATCTGTATTTAGCACCGCGAGACAACGGTAAAAGTCCCTCAACAGCTTTGCGAGTTCTATTCAATGAGATGACTGCATTCAAAGAGATAATCTGGTATTGTTTAAGACGACTCAGTGAGGTTTCGCGACACTGGGGTAAGGCAGCAACTTGATAATCGCCGCCCACATACCCCATAGCAAACCTAGAGTTGTGGTCATGATCTATGGCAGTAAGTTTTTGTCTAAAAGTGGAGCATACCCAAGTCACGTATTCTACTCTATGCGGATACATCTGGTCAGTCAAAGAATCCGAGAAACTTTGACCTTGACGTGACTGCAGCCTTGGTGTAGCAGCAAGATCTAGTGGGGGAAATGTGAAATGAATTTCGGAACTATGTTTGGCTGACCTGAAACCCCGCGGCTATGTCTAGCTCTCCGCTTCCAGAGGCTTCTGGCCAGAGTAAGAGTGATAGTAATGATACGCGTGGTTGGAATTGTCCAGTAAATCCTTGCGCACTTGAATCAAGAAAACCTCAATCTCCAACTGGGTCCAGCCCAATCCCTTTGTAAACGGCACGTTCGTCACTGCCCCCAAGGAGTCGTAGTTGACGGCAGCACAGTAACTGCCGATCGACTTCAAATGAGGCTCTTGTGGCCAAGTGCCCACTGGTACCTTTTTGACCTCATGGATTTGATTGACGAAGCCTGCGGACTCAATACGGTCGGCAAACTTATCGGCCACATCTATGTCCACACCAAACTTGTCCAAGGCTTCTTTCAGAAGATCCATCGTCTTCCTGGGAGCGTAGTCTGGGCCGACTGTGCCGTCATCGCAAGCAAACGCCCACACCATGTCTTGCACCTCGATCCAACCTCCCGGTCTGAGGGCTCTGCTTCTTTTTAGTAGGGCAACTTAGCAGCCATGAAATAATTTTTAATCCTTACTTATAAGCCTGCGAAAGCAGTCTTGGCCAATCTTTGAGTGCCGGAGCCATATTTCTCACATGGACATAATCAATTGAGTCATCCGGGTAGAGCCAATCAGCCTCGACGTCGTCTACTACAAAATGCACATTTGGTGGCACATAAGCAGGCTGAATGGGACTCAAGTCAAGGCCAGTGATATCGGCTTCTGGATACTCGTCGCCCACTGAGAATGTTTTCAACGATCAGCACTCCCAGCGCTCTCATTTATGGCGACTGAACATTTAACGCAACACTTACTGTCCATAGCCCAAATTCCAGTGCCAGTGCCAATGTCAAGGACCCTTTGCGGGCTTTTCAAGGGAGCATTATGCAAAGCGCCCTCGCATACATGCACGAGCATAGCGTGCTTCATGTCTTCGCGATCCTGTTCCTGATCATCGTTCGGTAACATGTAGCGGCCTTCTTTGAACTTATGGTAGCGACGCCTATTCTCAAAGTTGTAATCTCGAACACTTGATGCCAAAGACGTAGATGCATTTGAGCTATCATCGCTTGCATCATGGTAGCCGTCATCGTCTGAAGCCCCATCGTCCGCTGCTATCGCGGCTACTGGGACCGGTGACGAGGATTCACTCCGGTGACTGTCGGAGCCCGAGTTACTACGAGGGACTGAAGCGCGATCGGCTATCATTTTGAGGAAGGGCGCGAAATTGAGAAAGAGTGAGAAGGAGAGCAATAGAGAAGTGAGAGGAGTGAGATGTAGGGGCAAAAGTGAGAAAGAGGGGAAGATAACGTCCCAAGGGAAACATTCTCAAGCCAACACCAACATGAACACGTTCCAACCATCGTCTCCAGTCTTTTTCTCCATGTTTTCGGCCGGAAGCAGGATGTTTGATGCGAAGCAAGGGTTACGGCCAATATCGTGCTTCCGTTGAAGCCGCAAGCTACAGAGTTGCATCCCTTAGACCAACCCGATTGGCTCGTTTAGCAGTGGAACGGCCTTGGTTTCCTCGTTGAGCGAGGAGACAACAAACCAACAGACTGCGGAGGCCGCTCCTGCTCCGCGAATTTTTTTGGGCCGTGGCTTCATGTCCTGGTCGCTGATTGATGGGTCTCACCTCATTTCCATCCAAACTCTTGATCAGTCATATTCTGAGGAAGATTGTTAATGCTAGAACGCCAACGACCACCCTCTTTGCTTTTTAGTCATCCTGAGAGAGCCTACATCACATTGCGATTGGTTATCGTCTACGGTTGATGCAGGGGGGTCATGAGTATTGATTATATCCTGCCGTTGCGATATCGATTCTATCAAACGACTGTATTTCTCTACTCGAGACCTTTTACGTGTGGAAAACGATGTTTGTCACTGTCTTCTTCGCAGCTTTCAGGCTCTTAGATTAGTTAAAATCGTCATGACCAAAGTTGGCATCCTCTTAACTGCAATGGTCGTGCCATATGACGATGGTAATCGGCACTTCCGTAGGATAGGTGAGTTATAATTAAATACTCTCGCAGATTGAAATCTCGATGGCTACTCCGTACATGTAGCGTCTAAGCTACATATAAGCATCAGAAGAAAAGGAAAAGAAAAGAAAGAGAAAAAAAAGGTATCAAGTCACCCAGAGACCTAGAAACATCATGTTGAGTAACTAGGGTCATTGGCCTTTGCGGGCAAGTGCATTTTATGCGTGCCTTCCATCGATAGTGATCAGCCGCTAGCGCAATTCAACTGCCTCTGAACTCCGACACTGAGCCAATGGAGATGTGCGGTTCACATCAGAACACCACGTTCCATTCAGGATATGGGTCATATTTTAACAAGTATGAGAGGAAACCCCTTTGCAGAAGGATCGTTTCATCTTCCTTTCTGCCTTGAGGGTCAAGGACCCAATCTACTAGATTGAGGTTGCGACACTTCACTACGCTTGAGCCTCATTCGCCAATGATCTCAGCGGACTAAATGTGCGGGGCTCTTGTTCCTCCGAGACAGGGGCACTCTGGATTTTAGTTTTCCCTCAATGTCATCAATCCGAACTCAACGACACAACTCCGACCATCTCGCAACGAAGCCATCCTCCCCGGCCGAACCTGGCCTTGAAAAACCGATGGCTGAGAGTCCCTCTCCATTGCCGCGGCTACCAGTGGAGGTACTTGGACTCGTCTTTGCCCACACGTCAAAGTCGACGGCTCACGCCGCTCGGCTGGGGAGCAAAATTCTGTCCGCCGCAGCAACCCCCAGATCATTCCAGCATATCTTACTCAAGCCACCTTTCTGCGACCGGTTCACGCACATTGCCAAAGATACAAACCTTCGGCGACATGTGAGAGAGGTCACATGTGATGCTCGCGCGGTTCTGGATTACTGCCCTTTCCCTATGGACTTCCTTGAGGCTTTACCCTACCTCAGATACTTCTCCGGGCTCAAAGTTCTGAACTTGAAGTTTACCGACTATGCAGATGACGGCGACGAGAACGCTGAACCGAATAACTCCACGAGTTATCGTTTCTATGATATCTACAGCTTTCGGCGCTTTGTCATTCTTGTTGCCTTTTACTGCATACACGGCGGTAGTAAAGATGATCAGGATCTGGTTCAATTGTCGCAGAGCCTGGGGACGTCTGAAGAATTTGCCTGGATGGGAGACTTGAAAACCCCGGACATGTCTTGGAGCGTAGAGGACAGGCTGATTGATGGCGGATTTCCCAAAATCCAGCTAGAGGAATTGGCCATTTTCAATCTAGCTGAGGATATCAACGAGGGCCAAGATCATGGTACGGAAGACCCATTGCATCGGAAGCACCTCGCGGATTGGCCCATCTTCCAGCAAGTAATTGCCCTTCCAACGCTCAAAAGTGTAAAGTTGATGGTAGCACCCGATGACCCGGACAACTCGTTGTGGGACAACTTGGAGGATGAGCCGACTGAGTACAATTATCAGTGGCAAGATCTCTATCTTCGCGAACTCACATCGTGGTTCAAACCACAGCTCGCCTGTAACCTGACAACCTTGTCTCTTTACTACGACGATATCTGGGGCTACCAACCCAAGTTTGACTTCCGCCTCATCAATCCCGGCAGCGGACCAAACTCTGGATTTCCGCACTTGAAGGTCCTAGGTCTGGGAAGATACTGCTTCAGTCATGAATGGCAGCTAGACTGGTTTGCTTCTCTCGGAAGTCAGAGCTTAGCTGGCGGGATAGAGGAGCTATACCTCGATGAATGCGTGGTGGTATCGAAAGCATACTGTACAATCCCTCAATGGGAGATTTGGGATCTGGACCGAGACCGCAACTACACCATAGTTACTGTTCAAGACGCCGACGGCAACGACGTTGAAGTCTCGAATCGTGGGTACTTGCCAGCCACGTGGGACATTGATCTTGTCGACGACACTTGGACCGAGTTTTACCACTCCAGCTTGTCCTGGCATGAGCTGCTCGACCACTGGAGCAGCAACATGACGGCACTGAAGAGATTCAAGATGGGCACGACGGCCTCTCTTGCGTCTTGGTCCGGAATCAATCTGGCAACTCATGTAACGGTCGATAAAATCACCGAGGCTGCTATCGCTCCTTGGAGCAAGATCAGCATCATGAACACGGATATCCATACCAAGTTCGATGATGTCGCGTTCCGCAAAGAGGTTGGAATCATGGAGTTGACATTGCCGTTTTACGTCAACTATTCACCGAAACCGAGCGGGATGCCCAACTGGGTTGCTCGTCCTTGGTTCTTCATACCGGCGAGCAGTGATGAGCCTCTAGTTATGGAAGAACCCCCGAAGGAGACGAGACGGAAAGATGCATTAGCATTGGACAACCTGAGAAAAGTAGTAGGTGAGAGGGCAAAGGGGGGCGACCGGGTTCGAATGAGACCAATGGGGCCTTCGCGCGCGCAAAGCGATGAAGTTCCGACGGTTGCCGAGCTTGCACCCTAGCTACAATAGCATTTCTCCATTTCAAGGCCTACATGCTCAAGGGTCAAGGTGGTTCAAAGTTTGTTGAGTTTCGCGACTTCGATTTGGTGAAGCCTAGAGCTGGACGAGAACAGAAATCCAACGCTGGTCATTGAAGGTACCAGACTTGTCAGATTGCGCTTAGTCTTCAACAAGGAGATTGGAAACTCTTGCGAAATTCTGTCGCATAGCTCGCGGCTTCGCTTTGCTCAACGTGCCGTTGAGATCTATGCAATCAATGAGTCGCAGAATGTCGTATCTTTGGTTATCAGCAGGGGTTGTCTTCCCAGTGCCGTAATCAACGCGAGTCGCTGGCAGGTGGATGTCGGCGCCTAGTGCCTCGCTACTATCTACAAATACGTGTAAGACCAGAGCATGCCATGGATCCTGGCAAACGACTCCCGCAAACTGGATCCTAACATCTTGGCTTCTGTCTCACTGGTCAAGACTCGTCAGTAAAACGCAGTGCAGTCAACTGGCAGCCCCATCTTGGGGACGCGCGGGACTATCCGCAAGCAGGACGGGAATTGCGGATGTGCCGCATATGCCCCCAGGCAAGGATCATGGTGATCGTAGAAGAATCATTGGCGACGAAAAGGGGAGCGCTCAACCAGCGGTGGAGGAGAATCCAGCGAAACTTCTTGAAGCTGTGGATAACGGCTATGCAACAGCAGACGAATGCAGCATGTGGACATCATGGTGGTTCGGCCATAAGGTGACGAAAGGGGCGGGAAGAGACTCATGCTACGGCGCCGAGACCAATGAAGTTTGAGGACAGGTGGAGGTCTCCCTGACCGAGGAGGATGTTTAATGACCCAGTCGTCCGGGTCCGATTGACAGGATCAAGTTTCGGAATCGAAGTGGCGGTCAGAACGGTTTGACTTTTCGACGTGGAGAGTTGGCGATGTGACGCCGTCATGGAAGTTGATATGTTTGCAGAAATGTGACAGACATTAGCCGATGAGCCAGTTATCATCACAACCAAAAGTACGCACGTAAAACGGCTCACTCATCACACACCGTAATCCAAAATGACAGACATGACAGCAGATTGAGTTTCGAGGCGGCGACGCGGGTGTGGCAACGCAGCTTGGGCCAGAGGATGCCAGGCGCACCCAGACAGGCGCCAGACTCACGCGAGACTAGCCCGGACGAAATCGCCGGAACCACCGGGGGCGCCGTTACGCTTTGTCTTGCAGCATTTGGGGCTACGCCGCGGCGCTGCATGGCGGCTGTCTTTGTGCCCCTGAGACTTGAGCCAAAATGAACGCCGGGCCCAGACCGAGTGGTCACTGATTCGCAAAGTTGGCCGGATGGGACAAGTCATCTTGTCGATTGCGAGTCTTAGCAGAAGATACCTTGACGCGAATCCTAGTGAGTTTCCATAAACACTGGAAACTCCACACGTCCCAATTCTCAAGTACCGGACCCAGAGGGTTGAGGGGCTCCAAAATGATATGAGAGGTTCCCACATATCACATTCCCGAAGAGAGGAAAGATGACATCCTCGGCCAATCTAAGACAATGGAATCCAAAAACCACACACCACTCAAGAGCCGATCCCTCTCGCGGGGACCGCCCCGCTGGAGATATTGCCTACCCCGCTTAGGTCTCGAGGGTCTGATGACGAGAACAAGGAAAGACCTCGTTGTCGCATGGGACTAAGTGGCGCTACTGCACCCTTGGCAAGGTCTATCCACCACGACCGAACCTCACAATTGGGTTCACTAGCATGGGAGGGTCGAGAGGATCCCTCCGACGGACTGGTTCGCCCATACGCACGTATGGAACCCGAACCATTAGCTCGGTGTTAGGTCCGGTCCTTTTCCTCTTCCTATTCCTGACCTTGGTGTAGGGGTTCTCTCTCTCTATTGCCAGTACTCCTGACGGGCTGTCGGGAAAACGAGAGACTCGGGAAGGCAAAGTAAGACCAGACCAGACGAGACTGGACTGGGCCGACCCAACCCAGAATTTGACCGTTCCATCTTCGCTACCACACCTCCCTCCCCTTCGGTTCCCCTTCCACCCACCGAGATTCGCCGTCGTCCCTAGACTAAGGTGTACCGCGTTGTCTGTGCGGACGATGCTAGTCCAAGGTGTGAGGTAAGCCATAAGACCCGACCGTTTTCCCACATCGTCTCATGAGCGGACTTTTCTCCCACTCCCTCACCAAATTTCCCGCTATCCCTCGTGCCCTTACCTTCTCGCTTTCTGCTATTCTCTCGTGGCGGTGGAGGGTGGTGCCCCCTTCTTGAAAGACGTCCCTTCATGTTTCACGACATCGGAGGACCCTGCAGATAGGGCACGTCGAAAGTTCACGGCCACGCACGCTAACCGAATATGCCTCTCAAAGTCGCTGTCATCGGTGCCGGACCCGCGGGTCTGGCGACGGCGAGATATCTGAAATGGGCACACTTGTTCTTCGCGATTGAACCTATCCAGATCCGGGTCTTTGAGGCCGAGGATGATATTGGAGGCACGTTCAAGTATCGAGTGTACGAGGACGCTGAAGTAAGTTTGCCACTACTGAACTCAACCCACTGTCTATTCCTCAAACCATGCATTCCCATCGAACAGAGAGAAAGGTTTGTTGAGGCTGACAGCATGGCCATAGCTCGTCTCGTCTAAATACCTGACCGCCTTCTCCGATCACCGCCTGCCCCGAGATGCCGCTGATTATGTCACCCCGGCTGTCTATGTACAGTACCTAAACGAATACTGTGATCGGTTCGAGCTTCGACCTCACATCGAATGCTCGTCTAAGGTCACTCGCACTGAAAGAGGATATGGCGGAGGGCATATCGTCACCGTCACCCGCAAAGATGGCACAACCTTCGACTACGACTGTGATGCCGTTGCCGTCTGCTCCGGACTCAACCTCGAACCCCGTATTCCTGACATTCCGGGGCTGGAGAAGGTCCCAAAGGTCCTCCACTCATCGCAATTCAAGAGCCGAGATCAACTACGAGATATCAAGAGCGATAAACCCACCGTCGTCATCGTCGGCACGGGAGAGACTGGTCAAGACCTCGGTCAACTCGCGGCGACGACAGAAACCGTTCAACATGTGGTGATGTGCCACCGAGATGGATTCGTCGTTGCACCCAAGGTAAGCCTCGATGTTTTGAAGATACATTTGTGTAGGTTGATATTGACTTGTCGTAGACTGCACCGACACCAATCATGTTCGGGTTCTGGGGCAGGAATAGCAAAGTAAACGATAAACCCGTTGACTGTTCCATCGCTAGTCTCTTCGACACTGCATATGTTCCCCAGAAATTGCAGTCGAGCCAACTGCTTTGGGATTTTTACAACCAACAGATCGACGTTACATTCTCGCTAATTGGTGGGACGCTTGAGGGCTGGGACCAACATGTCGGCGGCATGCGTCGGGAGAGGATGCACATCGATCACTGTATGCAGTCATCCGCACCAACATATCCAGGAACCGGCTAACCAAAGATCGCAGTCTTCCCGGCCAAATCCACTCGTGCTGTGCCATACCTCTCAGCGCCTTGGCGGCCGCCTCTTTCGGCCATGGAGCGGATACGCCGATTCTTCTTCTATATCAAAGAGCTTGACGTCGACACCAAGGGTCGATACATTGACGTTGCGCCTTGGCCCGAGTATGTTGACGACGATGGTGTGTTGCACTTCCGCGATACCGGTAGACCAGAGTCGGAGAAGATAAAGCAGATGGTGGTGAAGCCTGATGTTATTCTATTTGCAACTGGCTACACCCGCCGCTTCCCTTTCCTCGATAAGAGCTATGGCACACCCGACACAGCCGATGTACGAGCCATTTACCACAGCAGCGATGTATCAGTAGGGTTTATTGGCTTCGTACGGCCGAATTTGGGTAAGTCATTCAACCTCAACCACAGATGTTCCCTACGAATGTTGCTTCTAACATAGCTTCCCAGGTGCAATCCCCACCCTCGCCGAGATGCAGACCCAATACTGGATCCTTCAACTACTCAGATCCAAGTACCCTAACGTCCCTGGCCTAACAACACCGTCAAAAGGACTCACTTTGGATCCGAACGCCCTACCCGGCTACGATATCGACTGGAAGCTCCACCCTCGATGTGGCAGAGACCCGTGGGCCGAAAAGCGCGGCGTCGACCACGAGAGCTACGTATACCAGCTAGCCCTCGACATGGGCTCAGCACCACGATTCAGCTACGTCTACTCCAAGGGTTTCAAGGCCTTGTACACTTGGGCTATGGGTAGCAACTTCAATGCAAAGTTCCGCCTTGTGGGGCCCTGGAAGAACGAGGAGGAGTCGCTGCGCATCATTCGTGGCGAGCTTTACGACATCGTCAAGCGGTCTGGCGGTATGCTATACATGATCGCCAACACCTTGATACCCTTTTTCTTGTTCGGCACGATGAGCATGGCCATTCATACGTGGGAGTGGACCAAGAGCTTGTTCCACCCATGGACGCGGAAGGGGGGTCAAATACGCCTCCTCGAGTCTTAATAACGATTTAACGACCATTTTCCTTAAAGTTTAGATTTTCTACTTCATAATACCAGCGACAAGAAAGATTTTCATTTGAGGCGAGATAACTCATAGTCGTAATTAGGTATTAGTACACAATCACAGAGAATATGTGCGAAGTTGTTTGTCAGCCCATGCAAGCATGGTATCCACATTACACCCGTAGTGCACTTATCTCCATGAGCTAAACCTCCACAGATTGAGCCTGAGTTCCAGCAATATACACAATGCACCAAGTTTCGATCAGGTCTATCGCCTCAAGAGCCATCCATCGTATGATGTCGATGGGTATCGCGTTTCAGGTTGCTTCTCGGGTGCCGTTGAACTTGATGGGAGATTGGCCAGCTTCTGTATGATTCTCCCATCCAAGTTAGGATCGGGACCTCTGTAATTGTACACTGACGCGTTGAACTCGGGAACTAGACGAGGCCTGCAGGCGAAGAGCATCTTATAAAGCTGGTTATCTTGCCACTTTCCGAAGGCCGTGGACAACACCAGGTCAAAGTACCGTCCGAACGGGGCAAATTGAAGGATGTGGTTGTAGACATCGCCATCGCCAGTTTTTTTCCCTTCCAAAATACTGTGTTTAAGCCCATCTAGCTCATGGTAGAGCGTGTTCTTCGGTATCACAAGTCCCGAGGGGTCATGTGCGTCGATGCACTCCAGCATCCACTTGAAGACAAGATCGCTCAAGACCTCGTTCGGTTTGATCGCCTTGCTAGACCAAGCCCACGCCGGCAGAAGACTCTCGAGTCGCTGCGGCAGCACGCCCCTCACAATCTTGAAACTTTGTCGACAGATATCGTAGTGCGTGCCTGGGAACCAACGCTCCGTAATGCCGTACGACGGTCCATACTCTGTGTCGCGGGAAATCAGACACGGCTGGTAAGCGTACAGGCGGTCGTGTAGCGAGACGGCGTGGTAGACTTCGGAGACGACGCTTGATACGTGGTGGTCATGCAACTTGGGCCAGTCAACGCCGACCGCGCCCGCGAACTCTGGGATGCCGCGTTCCCCGACCGAGTCGAAAAGCCCCATGAATCGAATCGGCGATTCGACGACGTCTCCATCTCCGATCAACGCCCAGCTGTGCTTCCTTCTAAAGATCCGCGATTGCTCTGACTTTGGCGTGTTGGCTCCTGACGAACATCGGTAGATGCGATAGACCTCCTGGCAGAGCTGGTGTGTCTTGTCAACATCAACATCCCCGTTCAGACCGTATACTGGCTTCACTATCCCGCAATTATTGATCATGCCCGCGACGGAGCGGACGATAAAGGCTCCTTTCGAAACACCAAACATCCATATTTCGGTTTCTTGTGGGGTGTAGCCGTGAACTAGGTATTCGTAGGTATCTATGCATTGCTGCTCGATGTCTTGGACGTTGAGACCGTGAATTACATGGCTTGAAGGCCTCGGTTAGCCATATTCTCTTCAAGAGGATCGTCAAGAAAGGGTCTTCTACTCCATGAACGTGCTACCTACGGGCACGCTGTTGACATAATGGGCCTTTCCTGTAGGGTGGAGGTATCCGAAGTCATCGTCACTAGGCAGCCCAGATTCTCCCCACACCAAATTTGCCAGCCGTTGTACGTTGGACTCTGAGTTGGCTTCTCGACCAGTCCATACTCCATCTGATAACACTATCAGCGGATTCTTCGCCGGGCCTCGGTATGACATGATGCTGTGGTTTGGCGATAGCTCGATAATTATTATCGAAGGAAGCTGTGCCAAAGTATTTGTGTGTGTGAATGCAGACTGTCAAACATTGGCAAATTAACAAAAAGTCAGGAATCAGCTGCTTTTGTTGCATGCGACCTCGAGGCGGAACTTGTGGAATGCGTCCTGTTACTTGGACCTCAGGCAATATCATAACAGTTGGATTGGTGGTGTTTTGCATTCCATGATGGAAACTTGAATGGCCCCCAAACCTCTTTAGACCACCACGCGGCGACCTGGATCAAAATATTGGGCGAAGGCATCAATAAGAACACATGGCTTTTGTCAGTCCTACATGCATATGCTAGTGACGAATTTGATTGAGGTGTAAATTTCGTCTTTACGACTGCCCAGTAGCTACATTGACGACCCATACTGTTACCAAAGGTTACATTCAAACAAGAAACAAGGTCTGAACCCTCGACCACCCAGTCTCAAGGTCTTGCGCAACATAGCCCGCGTCAAATCGCAAAACCGCTAATTTCTACGAACAGCAATTGAGAAGATCTGACAACCCTTTACTCACTGCTACGGGTCTTGTTTCACTGTTCTTATACCGCGAAATTAGTCAGATACCGGCAACCGGAAGCTTCAGGCCCAGGCCGGCTGGAAACCCTCGGCGGCCTTTCGGGCTAGATGAGTATGTCTCAGTTTCCGTGCTCTGGAATGCCGATCACTTGATCGCAATTTGACATTGGCACTTTCCAGATTTGGCCGAAGATCTTCTCATCTCCCGGGAATAATACGAGTGAATATGCCGCGATCGTTGTCTCCGGTGATATGCACGAATCCCATCTGCATTAAGATCCACTCCCCAACCCAACTGGGCGCAGGCTCATGTTCCTCCAGTCGCCTTCCATGATTTCGCTCCCAATCATCACACCAATTTCGAGGAATTGCAACATGTCCATGTGCTTTGTGGCTCGCTAGTAGCCCTGAGAGCTGACCGTGGATTCCATGAGTACTTAACTTGCTGGGTAGACTTTGCGACTCTGTGAGGACCCAGTCAGATCTGTTTGCGGATCTTAGTGGATGCTGCAGGCTCACCAGTCACCAGTCATAGGGCGCTTGGTCTAGGGGTATGATTTTCGCTTCGCATCTCATTTCTCTCCTCCTAAGGATGTGAATAATTGCGCTTGCTTGTGAAAGGTCGTGGGTTCAATTCCCACAGTGTCCAAAACTTTTGCTGATCTCAGACTGTTGACGGTAGTTACTTTTGTTCTTGACCTATGGAGGGGAAAAAACAAGTGCTCACTCACCGTGAGACATGATATATGTATGGCCTTGCTTGACATGTCTGATTCCGAGATGGCGCAGTCGGATTGCTTTTGTCTCAGAGTTGTTCTTAACTTTGACAAGTCGTTACAAACTAAAATACTGTGTTTAGTGAGTCTTCGGAGTTGTAATGGTTTGGCAATACTTGTTCGCTTGCTGCTCATCCTTTCGTCGGCCACAAACGAAGTCGTGTTTTACGGTCCATTCTATTGAGACTGAGTGGAATTTATCAAAGAGAATCCGCACCGATATAACTCACCTGCTATGCTGTAACACTGAAGTCCTCTGCTTGGGGAACAACGTTGCCTGCTATTATCCAGGCTGTCTAATGACGACATCTGATGTTGAGACTCGCATCGCTGTTTAGGTGTGCATTCATTGGACATGGTTTTGGACTGTTTGGGGTCTAGCTAGTTGTTGCCTGCAGACAGAGGCCGCCTATCACCCGTCCTAGCGCTGCCTCAACCTGCATGTCAGCACGACTTTCTACAGTTTGACACGTTATCGTTCGCCTACAGATGTATGCCAGGAATTGTGGCTGAGCAAATAGTACTGGCGAGGCGCAGCGTGAGGCACACCTACGTGATATGTTATGGAGACGCTGTCAGTCCTTCTTCTCACAAGATGTTTCGCGAACACTCTCTGTCTTCTCATCTTCAGATTCAGGAGCAATGGCCGATCCACTTTCAATCACAACTGCTTGTATCACATTAATTGGCGCAATTGGGAAGACGACACAGGCTGTGACGAATTTTGTTCGAACGTGTCGCGATGCGCGCGAAGATCTCGCCGCTGTCAGCAGAGAACTGTCCGATCTGCGCATCGTGCTCGAACTTCTCATCGACGATACCGCCACCAAGGCCTCCTTGCCTGCTGCCTTCGAAAAACACGTATTGGCCCTTGTCGGGAACTGTTTGGGTGTGACAACGGAGATTGCGGGGGAGCTCGGGAATCACGATGGCCGAACTGGGCCAGCGCGGTGGGCGATGGGAGGCAAGGAGACTGTCAATCAGCTGAAAACGATGCTCGAGACGCACAAAGGCTCGTTGAACTTGGCTCTCGAGTTAGCGAACCTGTAAGCAGTATTACCGCAGCTTTCATGTTATTATCGAGGTTGGTGTTAATCATTCGCAGTGTATCTTCCAAAGCGATCAAGGATGATACCGTCGTCATTCGCAACGATGCAGGTCTGATCAAGGAAGACACAACGAACCTCTTGCGACAAGTCTCCGATGTCACTCTACAAATAGCAAGGATTCGCAAAGCTGTGGGCGCCAATCGACAGATCAAAGTCGCCAACAGCGATACCATTGACCTCTGGCTGGAATCCCTCACATCCTACGCTGAAAGCGTTTGTGGCGATTTGCTACAGGATTTGCCGCCAAACGCTCATGACCGAATGCTGCTTCCGGAGACTGAATTAGCAGGCAGTGGAATCGTCATCAGCAACGATACCATCGGAGACATCGGGCCGATGAAAGTTACCAAGATACACCAACTCACGTACAACAACGGCATACACTACATCAGATCGAAGGGGAGTCATCTCATCGGTGTAGATGGAGTTTCCAACGTAGTCATATGGGATATACAGACCGGAAAGCAGTTGGGCACTCTGGACACCAAAAAGTCCCATTCATGGGATATTTACAAAATCAAAACAGCATCCATCTGTGGTCACGATTCAGAATACATCATACTGCATCAGTATAAAATAGGCGCCTCTCTTTGGGATTGGAAAAAGGGCAAGCGAGTCCTTGACGTGTACCAGACTTACCAGGACTTTATCACACTCCACCCAGTACATCTTGACGGGAAAAGACTTGTCGTGTTCTGGCATGACAAACACTCTATATGGAAGTCAGAAAAGCCGAGATGGAAGCACGAAAAGCTGGCCGAGATTCCTGGGCCAGCAGAAATTAGCCGGATTGGAATATGGGGTAACGTCGCCGTCGCGCTGCTGAAAGACGGCAACGCAATCTGCTTGGAGACATTGACGGGCTCAGTCAAGGCCAAGAACTCGATCCTTCGACTTGGACAAGAAGACAAGTGCGACAACTTGGCGATCGGCCTCATCCTTATTCGGCAACCGGACGACGGACATCGTGTCTTATTCTGGATCCCAGATGTGCCCCATGGGTCTGTCATGGTCATTGCTTGGGACATCGAGAAAGACAGGGTCACTCACTCTCAATATGGAGGTTACGTGAAGCAAGAACATGAGCAAGGAAAACCAAAAGGCTTCTGGCCCACGGCGTTTTTGGATCGTGGTGCGTTGATGACACATGGAGAAGGTATTGACTTTTTCGACTTCGCCACGGGAAGGAGACGGAGATATCATAATCCATTCCCACACAAGAAAGAACTGGAGGTAGCGAAGGAAGTGTGGTATGGTTTATTCGGCCGCAAGTACCTCAAGGTTCCTATCAATTTGGGACGGCAAGCCACCGTGAGTCAGTTCGAAGGAAAGTACAGAATTGCCGTCAGGGCTCCTTGGGGAGGTGTAGAGGTGTGGGCATGGGAACTCGACGAGGTTTCCCTTGAACAACAACGAGAGCAGAGGAATACGACAACAAGGTCCATTGGCAGTTCGACATTGGCAGCTGACTCATGATCTTTCGTGGATATTGAGATGCAAGTTTTGAGTCTTGGACTTTCCGTACATCAAGTAAGCAAGATACATTGTAGATAATGTTGTGCCAGAACGAGGAGACATAACACCTTGTCGACCATCATAGACCCAAGTCAACCGCAGAGAACAGTAAAATGTAGTACAGGTTGATCCCTCTTCGAGTATGGGACGCCGGCTAAGTTACGAAGATGAAATTGTGGGAATAACTCCGTGCAAAGTGTGGAGTCTATCATGGCTACTGGTGGACCACGACTCCATCATCACATCCGATATGGTGTAGTGGCCAACATGATGCCCTCTCATCTCTTTGAGAGGTTAGGCATAGCCCCGAGTTCGATTCTCGGTTTCGGAAATTGTAGATTTGTTGTTTTTGCTGTTTGTTATCGCATAAAAGCTTCTAAAAGCTCAGTGTATTTTGACGCATGGTACTTGTAATTAGGACTAAGTAGTCTTTACTTTAAGGTTGGAGTCATGCAATGTTTGGTTTTGCTAATGTCTTTAGCGATCTCGATTCTTTCCTTTCTTTTCTCTTTCATCCACTTCAGAGATCTGATCAGGCCGGAGCAGTGTGAGAATAGCGAATATGTGGCTCTGAACTTGCTCTTACCGCAAATAATGGGAGCTGTGAGCGACCGTGTTGACGAAAACCATGCTTTATTAGACGGAAGCTTTGGAAGTGAGAAGGATAAAGCCAATTGACAAGATGTAGCCGCTGATTTTCATTTGTATTATTGGAAGCGCCGCTGGTATCTAGAAGTATATGACGAGGTGTCGTTCTTGGGCCCTCCTTTACCCTGCAACTCAACAGCATCGATGATGTAGTTGGCGCTCAGAAAGTCAGCATCTCCTTTCCCAATCACCCCAATCACAAGTGTGTACTGTCCCGTCTTGAGCTCACTCGCAGGTACTTCCCAACTATACACGTCGCCGAACCCGCGATAGGTACCAAGGGTTACGCCGCGAGAGTCGATGAGTGTCTAAGAGTTGTGTTAGAATATGAACATGCCCAAATGGCATCCGTACGGGATTGCATTGATGATGATAACCTACTGGGGCCCCTGAATCCGCTCCTTCCCACTCGTTCATCTTGACACTAGGCCTGCCGCCTTGTCTTACGAAGCACATTTTGTTCGAAGTATCACGACTGAACTACTTTACTCGAAACGAATGAGCTGAATTGACAGGAATCGGAGTTTGTTTTCAGTAGGCTATGTTCGGGGCCTGAATCATGGGAAAGCCTCATGGTAAGACCTGTTTCCGTGATAGGTACCCTCGTTCACATGGGTGCTCAGACTTGAGTGGGCTAGGTTTCTTGACGTGTCCCGGAAAGACTCTTGCTAGAGACTTACTTTGATGAAGAGTAAGCTTTCTCAAATGTATTCCACAAGATCGTGTGAGAGACATTGATCACTTAAGTGAGGTTGTCATTTGCATGGAACGCTCAGCAATAAGTGAAGGGAAGGATCCGAAGAGGTCGCGCCTGCCACCGTCGCGGGTGGATCAATCGCGTAAAGTGCGCTAATGCAGGGATACGTACTGCCTCCCACAGGGTGACGGGGCCTCAGCTGCGCTTAGTCATCCAGAGCTCCACCAAGATTTCAGGACAGCTTCGCGACTCCTTTTCCACTTGTCAGTGCTTCCAAGAGCACGAGAATCGTCATCTCTTCGCCAGCTTTCCAGTCACTCCTTTCAGCCACGATTGCTTCTGCTCAAGGACAACAGCCGCGAATCACATCTCGCACCATCAATCATATCGAGCTTCCTATAGCATCCGCAAACATGACCCGCGCTCAGCAGACCATCTCTCTTGCGCTCCTCGTGAGCTCGGTACGACCCCTCCCTCCCTTGTGTCCAGAGCCATCCCACCTCTCTATGGAGCGTCTGCTAACGGTCAATCTTCTGTTGTAGCTCTACCTCGCTCTCTTCCTCCAGCTCATCCCGATTCCTGCCAAGATTCAGAACGATGTTGTCCCCGTTGTACGTAACCGCGATCGCAATCTCGAAGCAACCCCTACGACCCGACCCAACCTTGCTAACCTATACTCCGTGCACACAGCTGCCCTTCTGGGCCCTGATCTCCTTCGGCTCCTACCTCCTCGCCAAGCTCGGATACAATGTCATGACCTTCAACGATGTGCCCGAAGCGCACAAGGAACTCATGGCCGAGATTGAGGAGGCCGTCGTCGACCTGCGGAAGCTTGGTGTCGATGTGGACTAAGGAAAGGACGAAATCCCAAGAGACCCACGACTCGATGTGAAAGCCGACCAGATAATATTGTAGGATATTTGGGGGATGTAGCTCGAGACTCTCAATGAAAATGGCGTGTCGACCTCTGGTATCTCGTTCATGACGTTCACATTTTCCGCGCCCACCCGAGACTCGTACAACACGACTATCCCTGCCACGTATGCGATTGGAGGAGGCGACTAGAGAGGCGGCAAAGCTCGGTACAAATACTTGATATTGCGAAACTCAGAGCTGCGAAGGGTCTACACTCGTGTTAATGTCAAGTTTTCATGACTGTATACTGGCACAAGTAGCAGCTATCAGTGCCTGGTGGACGCTTCATTATCGGATTCCCGTGACCTACCTATCGGCTTTCAAGTTGCTCAGGATAGCTCGATGTTAGACCTAGACTTTCGATTCAATGAACACCGCAACGCCGCGACACGACCGTTATTGCAACAAGCCAGTCATCGTGATGAGCCTCACGACCACGACCATTGTTTCCGGTGGCGCTCTAGACCCAAGTGGGAGTAGAATCGCTCATTTACGCGACCAGATTGAGGAGCCTGTGACCATTGCAGCATATTTTTCTTGGTGCGATTGAAAAGAATTTGTCAAACATGACCGCCTTCCTCGCCGTTGATCTCGCCAAAGTGCCTGTCCGCCAGTGCAAGAAGTGCCCATGAACACCTGCTACCTAACGGCGGTATCTCTCTGGGCTAGCAGGCCTGCTATGTTTGTCTTTGCTCCGTCTTTAATAGCCGACATCTGTCAGCTATACACGAGGCACCTTATTGAATCAAGATGATAAGCTGGATGAAGACTTGCTTGTCTCTTGGGACGTGTCGTGATGCCCGCCAGCTGATTGAACATGGACTAGAACTCGGCAAGCTGGACGACTTCCTTCCAGTCCGGAACTGTGCACTGTCGCCTGACCATACACGGACAACGGGATACCACTTCGAATGTAAGCTCACTTAAGCATCTTTTTGGTGTACCGACGAGTGCTGACTTGGTGAGCTTGCTCTGGTTAAGAGCAAGCGCTAGAGCTCAGGGTCTACATCTTATTCCTGAACCCCAATAGGCGCTCCAGTCATCCAAATGGCCTGATATGGAGATGAGCCTGAAGCATATTCAAACCATTCGTCTGCTCGAACTCGCTTTCTAGCCTATTCCCATGCGCCAACAAGTTCATCTTCGTCAACTGTTGTCAAATGCTCTGATCCCTGCGGGGTTCGGAGGGGTAGCATGACGCAAATTGACCCCTGAGAGCAACGTCGGGCCAGAAGTTAAGCTTCCCGACTGCTCCACTCACCGATAAAGCTCCCAGCATAATCTTGCCGTTGATGACAGACTGATCATCCAGCGACGGACCCTCGGGCGGGGTGGCACAGGCAACGTTGGCTGAGCAGGGCGTCCGGCCGGTAACCGGAGCTCGGAGGAGTTTGCCGGCTAAAGACGGCATGTTGCCGAGAGCTTGAGCCATCTGCTTTCGCACAGCTAAGAAGTGAAGCATCACAGCAATCCGCGTGTCTCCAACAACCCGTTGACCAACTATCATCACCCTTTGCGAAAACATCGTCATCATGCCCGAGCCACCCTACCCCCTGCATCCCTCGGTCGTCGACCGCATCAACCCCGAGTACAAGGACTTTTACAACAAGTTTGTCTTCGATAAGCAAGTTGTTCACCACCAGCCCATCTCCGCGTCTCGTGCAAGCGGCACTCTGATCCCGGGCGCCGGCCCTAAGCTCGAGGTCGCCAGCTCAGAGGATTTCACCATTCCGAGGAAAGAAACGCGCGGGCCTGACATTCTCCTGCGAGCTTTCACCCCCTTGGGAGAGAGGCCGGTCAAGGGATGGCCACTATGCTTTTGGTTCCACGGCGGCGGTTGGGTCTTGGGCAACATTGACACGGAGAATGTCATCGCCACGCACCTCTGCAACCGGGCGAAATGCGTCGTTATCTGCGTAGACTATAGGTAAGTAGAGTCCCGTGGCACAAGACGGCACTGCAGCCTGAAATCCGAGTTGCAAGAGGACACACTAACCTTGACAGACTCGCGCCAGAGAACCCCTTCCCTGCAGCCGTCGACGACTGCTGGGAGTCGGTCCTCTGGGCCATCTCCACAAATGGCACCGAGAAGCTCAACCTTGACATCTCGCGCATCGCAATCGGAGGCTCATCAGCAGGCGCAAACCTCACGGCAATCATCTGCCAGCGCGCAACTAAGCGCCCAGACTTCCCGACCGTGGCAACACAGCTGCTCTCTGTGCCCGTCGCAGACAACACCGCCACAGTGGACTCGACGAAACCAGAGCACGCATCGTGGAAAGAGAACGAGTTCACCCCCGCCCTGCCAGCGGAGAAAATGATGTGGTATCGTCACCATTACCTCCCCGATAAGGAGACTTGGGTGCACCCTGAGGCGAGCCCGCTTCTGTGGGATGGCGATTGGTCCAAGTTGCCTCCTGCTGTTGTGGTTGTTGGTGAGCTTGATGTATTACGAAGTGAGGGTGAGGCTATTGGGAAGAAACTTCAGGATGCGGGCGTTAAGACGGATGTGCATATCATGAAGGGGCAGCCGCATCCGTTCATTGCTATGGATGAGGCTTTGGAAGATGGTAGGAGGGCCATCACGTACTTTTGCGACAAGCTTATAGAGCTGTTGTGAGGGAAGGCTCTGAAGATATCACTCAGATTAAATGAGACTCGATTGAACAACAACAATATCATTCCTGATATGAATGAGACCAGTCAAACTTCACGGAAGGCATGCTTGTTGTTGAGGTGACGGATTCATCGTGATAGATCCCCCTCACGGTTAATGCCGACATGGAAAGGATGCTTAACCACGGTCTCAAAGGCTATAGACGTTTCATTGCACCATGTTTCTTATCATACTTTTGAAATTTTCGAAGGATTTTACATCCAAAGTATTTCTTATTTCTTTTTACAGGACAGCTATGCACTCAATCTCCACATCGACATTTAGTGGAAGAGTCTTGACCGCCACGCAACTTTGCCATGTCAGTCAGCATTTTCGATAGGATCAACGGAGGCGCCACACTCACGTTCTAGACGGCTTGATGTCACCCCAATAAGTGCAATAAACTTCATTCATCGCAGCAAAGTCATCCATGTCCGAGAGGAAGACGTTCACCTTGACCACCTTGTCAATCGTGGTACCGGCGCCTTCCAGTACCGCGGTCAGGTTCTTGATGCATTGGTGCTGAAGTTTCCAGTTAGCGATGAGCAACATCGGTGTCCAATTGAGATGGCAGAATTGGGTTGCAGATTAGGGAGTGCTGCATGCACATACCGTGTGTGCCTGAACGTCACCGTCGATGATTTTCATTGTCACCGGGTCCATGGGAACGGCGCCGGAGCAGAAGACCATGCCATTGGCAATGATGGCTTGGCTGTAGATGCCGGGCAGGGGCTTGGGGGCCTTATCTGTGAGAACGGGGGTCTTTGGGGAGGACATGATGATCGGTAAGCGTGTATTTTGTGCTGGAATGGTTCGAGTTCGGTTCTAAATGGTGTGTTTCTACATGAGCGCAAAAGTTGATCTCACTGCCTCTCCGTCGACCAACACGCAATTGAGATACCATCATGAAAGCTACTAGTCATTCACAAACCCCATCGATAATCCATCGCACTCATCGTGAGCGCCATCTTCTCTGCGATAGGAGTACCCGTCGAAGTCTCCGTTCTCGGATGAGCTTGAAATGCCCGCGGAGAGTTGCGAGGGATCGTCCTATCAACCCCGCAATCCTGAGGTGAGCGGGATTGCAACGTTTCAACACCCCGGATAGCTCACCCTTATCTTCTCTAAGCATTCACTTGTGGGTCGCTTCGGAATCGGATTTCTGTCCCTAAATCTCGGGTTTGTTTCTCATACGGCCATTACTCCATTCACTTACTTTTACGAGATGTTCGCGCCTTGAAAGGTGCTGAACAGAAGTTGTACCCCCACGGACCGCTCATCACCGTCCTTCGTCGTGAGGGCTAGAAGCTGCTTGCACGGCGCTGCAGTTCTCGTCAGCTCGCCCCACTATGATGGAGTTGCTGCAAGCTTTGTGGATTGCGGGGTGCATATTGATAAATGGGCTGCTATGCCATAGGCCATCGGCATCCATCCTTATCAAGCCGTACACCTCAAATGCAGATATGGCATGTTTGCTTCCAATGGCAGAGGCCCAGCACAGGATACGGGTAGGCCAAGCCATGCGCAGTGATTGAAAGCATCCTGACGTGGGAGCTAAAGCGGAGGAGTAATAGTTGACATCGAGCCCTAGAGACCTCCCGTGCGTGGTACCAGTCCTGGAAACTAGCGTACGTCCATACCAGGGTGTTCGACTTTGGACATCTGAGGTCGTTGCTTCTGTAGACTCTAGGTATCGTAACGCGATTCGTGTGGAGATTCAAATTCTCGTCGCAACTCCCCGCCGACCGTGAGCCGACATGGAGGCTAGAACTCACCCCATCGAACAGTTCCTTGCTGACGGATGGCTGAGATGGGATACCCGAAGAGAGCAGGATAGTGCGCGTGGTTGTATGACCCCGCTTGGAGTATCACTCTTATCTCTGGCCACCAACGAGCTTGTCTCTCATCTTTACGAACCAGCCACAAGGATGCTAGATGACCGGGATGAGAGATACGTCAATCAGGAAAAGGATACGCTGGATCAGCGAATGCTACTGCAGCACACTCCATCCGAAGCTTATGTGTGTCGTATGTGTCTACTAAGGCACGGACAGCAATGTCCCAGTTGGGGTAACTGTAACCTTGCATTTTTCTCCCTCTCCCTCGCGGTTTGCACCACTTGAGTCTCCCAACCACGATTCTTGAACTTTCCTTTCGCATCGTTCCTGTGGTGTTAGCCATAAGGGCCCGTGAGACGCACAATGGAGGCCGCAAAGGACAACAAGATCACCCCAGCGACACGCGCTGAAGGATCACTTCGCGATGGATCCGTGGACGGCGAGAACGTCAAGAAGAACGACTACGACGACGATGTGGTTCAAGTCGTCGACAAAGCCGCCGAGAGGGCCCTCTGCAGAAAGCTGGACCTTCACATCTTGCCTGTGCTAGCCGTGATGTGTAAGTAGCCTCTTCCGCTCTCAATCGCCAGAGGGTGTGCTTGTAGTCGCTCACACGCAATTATTCGACCAGACCTGTTCAACGCACTCGATAAAGGAAACCTAGGCAATGCCGAAACCGACGGCCTGAGCACGGATCTCGGCTTCAAAGATGGCCAGTACAATCTCATCGTCAGCATCTTCTTCGTGCCCTTCGTCGCGGCCGCGCCGTTTGTGGCCCTCATCGGCAAGAAATTCGGCCCGGCCGTCGTCCTCCCGATTCTCATGTTCACCTTCGGTACGATGACGATGCTTATGGCTGCCGCGCAAAACTTTGGCGGTGTCTTTGCATTGCGATGGTTCCTCGGCATGGCAGAGTCGGCGTTCTTCCCACTGGTCATCTACTATCTCACCACATTTTACCGTCGCGGTGAGCTTGCGCGACGGCTGGCTGTCTTCTACGCCGCTTCAAACATCGTAATTGCCCCTCTACTACCTATGACGTACTCGTGGGCTTCGTGATTGACATATCGTAGGCAAACGCATTTTCCGGTCTTCTGGCATTCGGCGTGTTCCACATCACCAACACCAAATTGCATCCTTGGCGATGGCTCTTCATCATTGAGGCCACTGCCACCATCTTATTCTCCTTCTTTGCGTTCTGGTATCTTCCGCGTAGCGCTGCGGAGGCGAAGTTCCTTACGGAGGAGCAGAAGCGACTTGCCCACCACCGCATCCGAGTCGACAGCTCATCCGTGGTTGGAGAGAAGATGAAGATCCGAGAAGCAGCCAAAGTTTTCAAGCATCCGACGACGGTAAGCATCTGCCCCTTCTTCAGCTTCTTTCACTTTGAATTTCTGAAAAGAAGGCTCTTACTGATTAAATCTGACACAGTTCGGCTTTCTCGCCATCGAAATCTGCCTTGGCGTTCCCCTCCAGAGCGTTGGTCTCTTCATGCCCCAGATCGTGCAACGCTTGGGATACAGCACGATCAAGACGAACCTCTACACAGTGGCCCCGAACGTCAGCGGTGCTGCCATGCTTCTCATCCTTGCTTTCCTCTCGGATTGGCGACGACTTCGGTTCCCATTCATCGCCTTGGGTTTCATGCTCACGTTCATCGGCTTCATCATCTACGCTGCCATTGACGATGTCGAAGCTGAGATCAAACTCGCATACTATGCTTGTTTCATGATGACTTGGGGAACTTCAGCACCGAGTGTGCTTCTGTCGACTTGGTACAATAACAATGTTGTCAACGAAAATCAGCGTAAGTAAAAACTAAGAAAGTTCTGGTTCTCTGATAGAGACTGACATCGAGACTGCAGGTGTACTTCTGACTTCAATCGGTGTTCCACTGGCCAACCTCATGGGTCTTGTGAGCAGCAACATCTTCCGCAAGCCAGATGCTCCAAAATACGCGCCCGCATTGATCACAACGGCGGCATTCGGCGTGGCCGGTGCCTCATGCGCGCTTGCTCTGGGATTCTTCATGATGTGGGACAACCGAAAGAGAAACCGGGCCGAGGGTGTTACCTTGACTGCTAGTGAAGTCCCGACATCGAAGTTGGGCGATGGACCTAAGAGCCCTCACTTCCGCTGGTTCTTGTGAGAGCGCAGTGATGATTCGATATGGCGAGCTATGTTATGTCTCAGCAAAGTGTGAAAACCGGTCAGGTTGAGATACCCACTGCGAAGCTCACACGTATATATATTATCAAGTCTGTATTTATTATCTAGACTCAACGAACTCATGCCTGTATACTGTTTGGCTTGCCTGCACCACCGTGAGATATTGGATGCGATTTGCTTTGAGTCATCGCGATGGTGTTTGGAAAAACGTTCAAATAGAGTTGTGGTGAGGAGACCATGATTGTGACAGGAGCTGAGTGTTTGGGGCATGATTAGCTTTGAGGCAAAGAGGCTTGGCTGAACTACTAACCAGAAAGGGTCAAGAATTCCCGTTTGAGGCTTTGCTGCAGCCTGGGCGATCACACCACACATCGAGGAGCTGCGGATACTCAGCTGAACATACGACCCACACACTTCTGGGAGGGGACTGACCAGAATATCACACCGCACTTCACTTCTTCTTGACCATACTACATCACAGATTTGATGGTGCAGCAGAACTTTACCCCAGTTGGCACAAGAGTCCCTCTAAGATCCGATAGGTCTATTCAATCCTTCTAATCCTTCCGTGGCTCACCACTTCTGGTCTGGTTTGGCAACAGACATCCACGCAAGTAGCTTGTGGTAGACTATCAAAAATGTCTGGCCTCATCGAATACTCTACGGCGCAAGCTGGAAAGACTCTTGAAGTCGAACAACTCTCGCCGGATCTCTTCAAGCTGTCATTAACCAGAGACAACAAGTTCAATCTCTTCTCCGAGGCCATTGGCAGCTTAGATTCAGGCCGCGATGAAGCCGATCTCATTCTCCGCAACCTCCAAGCATGGTCCGCAGAAGCTGCGGAACGCTTCCAGCGACGCACCTCAGACGTGATTCTCGACACTCCTTTCCGGCTGCTTTGCTCGAGCCCAAGCGGGATCCCATTCGACAGTCGTTTCGTGATCCGACAATTTCTAGCCATCAGTTACAGTTGGCACAACCCGAGTTGGCCGGGAACACCTCAATCGGTTCCAGAACCTGGAGGGGTGTGGCCAGTTGGCAAGCGCTTTGCCGACGCAATCCTAGAATTACGAGGTCATCCACGTGAGGGAGTGTGGATAGACCAGGTCTGCATCAACCAACGCGATGAGTTCGAGCAACAAAGAGCTATCGCATCGATGGATGTTGTTTACAAGTCTTGCCGTAAGCTGGTCGTACTTCTGGAGGATGTCGAGCTCACCAACGACGAGGCTGGAATTTTTGAACTCTACGATGGTTATCGGTCTCCATATGTACTCGAAAAAGGTCCGACCGACGACAGGGAAGTTTCGCTGCTCATCTCGCTCTACGATAAAGTGGCCGCTGCGCGGTGGTGGCAGCGTTCATGGTGCTACCATGAATTCGTTGTTGCTGAGCCTTGGAGTGATAAACGACATCAACGCGTCCACAATACCGTTTTCATCCTGGGACTTGGCAAGGATAGGACTGTGACAGTAGAGTGGACTACACTGCACGCAATCCTGGCAACAATAACAGTCCAACTCGGCCATCGGAATGAACGGAGCGTCTATCTCAACCCAATCCTTTCCGGGTTCGCGAATCGGACTTCTCCTCGGTTTGATAACCCAGAAGGCAAAGCCGGCGTGATCAGGTCCAGCTTCATGGCGAAATTCAACGCCATCGCCCAGACGGGATGCCTGATGCCCGGTGACAGGCTTAGCGTGTGTCTCAACCTCATCGGACTTGGTCTGGCGTTCTTCAGATCTGAGGAGCCAACAGTAGACGAAGTGTACTTTCTGGCGGTATTGCTGGCTCTAGCAGCAGGCGAAAAGATGCCCCTTGCTTTCACCAACATGGATCCCCTGGCATTCCACGGAAAGGGATCATGGCTTGCTCGACCTATCACGGCGGCGGACACCACGCTCAACAAGTTCACATTGGGCGGCGTCAAAGGGATCCATGCTGTGAGCTTTAACAAGATAGAAATCGACATGGTCTTTTTCAATCGTGGTGTATTGTGGATTTCGGAGCAGGAGCTTCGGCGCACATATGCCATATTTCCAGATATTATACGGAATACTCCTCCGCCGCTCAAAGCGCAGGTCAAGATGCCGGAGTTCCAGGCTGAAGAGGATATGGATATGCCGCGACGACGGTTCCTTGCTGCTGTACTGTCGAGTGGGCCAGACTTGCTGAAGCGGCTTTGGGTCCAGCTCAATCGTGAAGTGGTGAAGTGGAACTACAACACGGGCATTTTTGCAGACTTCAAAGTCAACGAGGATCTCCTCCCCAACGCGAAAGATTTGCTCAAAGCCTTTGCCAAGAGCGATCGGGGCGGGGTTGGCAGTGAAGACCAAATTGCAGTTGAAGTTGCCACGGAATTTCTGACTTGGATTACGGATCCTCGATCCATCTACTGGATTTCGACGATGGCCTTGCGCCTTCCGTGTGCACGCGATGGCGAATCCGCACTATTGACGGGCTTCAGCTTCACAAAGAACTTCCGAGAGAGTGATATCGACACTCGAATGCGGGTGGCAGTGCCTACAGATCTGCTGCATGAAGACTGCGCATGGATGAGGGCTTGGTTGTTGGTGCCGGCAGATGACAAGGATGAAAAGGGGGCTTGGAAAGTCGCGGGTAAGACGTTGCTTCTGGGCGAACCAGATTTATATGCGGATCTGAACGTGGATGAAGAGGATGGGTTTTCGGATGCATTCAGGAGCCTGCATACTAGACAGGTCATCGTAGATTGACCGTGGTGATCAACGACACAACAGCTTTACCCACACGTCTTGGGCTTATTCACCCAGGAAAGTATTGGAAGATAAGAACAGCCTGATAGTTTCTATATCTTTGCTTTGCTTCTGTAGTAGCGTATGGGCCTTGGCATGTTACTGATGGGCGTCTTGTACAAGCTTTCGGAGCCCGTGAATGCTTTTACTCAGCGGGCTGGTGAAACTTATTTCGAAGCTCGGACGGAAGACGTACAAGCGATTCCGAGAAGAGTCGATTGCACGCTGACGATTACCGGGGTTATGGGACGAACGAGACTCAGGAGGGAAGGAGAATAGAGATGCTGATTGAAGTTGAGAATCCATACATGGTGTTATGTATCGTGTTAGGTTCTTTTCATCACACTCAGGGAAATAGAGTCATTACTGAGGGAGGTACGGGGCAAGGGTATCCGCTTATGAAGATAAATCAGGACAGTGGGCGAGGGCGAGGACGTTGAGGTCGAAGATGCCGAGGACATTTGACAGAAAAGAAGAGCTTCGACTTTCTGGGGGTGAGGGTTGATAAGGAGGCCATCTGAACTTAGGATTAGTGCTGAAAAGGTTTGTGATCCGGATTGATTATATGGGGGGGGGGGGGGTAACTCTATCAGGGACTGTATGTTGAGGAGGGTGAGAATGATGTCAGAAAGAAGAAGGTGGTATTAGGTTGAAGCTTTTCACGTTGTGCAATCCTCCGGTTGCCTTCACTGCAGCACCGAGGGCGTGTTCGCGGCTACAATGCTGGCGCTTCCTCATAGAGTGTGGGCGAATCTCATAGAGTGTGGACGAATGCGTGAAAACTACAAGCAAAAGTTGCAGTCCCAAAAAGCCGTTGGGATATTGTGGTTATCTCGGGCCGTCCATCGAAAATCTGGCGCTTATATGGTTTGAGCCTGAAAGCTGGTTGTGTGCCAACGCCAGTGTTTAAGACGGAGCCATGGAGCTGCTCGTGCTTTATCAATCCTTCCTGAACTCCCGCTCGATGCATGTTGATTGGTACCGTCCATGACAGGGAAGCCAACATGACATTTCGAACTGTCATTCGAGACCTGTCAAGCCGGCTTATCGGGGTGGGGCAAAGAACAGTGCGGTCGGATGCTGTCTTTGAGTTCGGTTTCATTCATGAGAAATAACCTTTGTCATCTCGACTCCAATAGCCTATCAAGCGTTGTCGATTAGTTTGGCTTGTGCATACCGGGTCCTCGGACCCGTATTCGAATTCTCATCGCTCTCCGAAAGCAACTCTGCTTCTAAAGAGCTAAAATCATCTCGAAATCATTGACTTTCTGCGGAATGAATGCCTCTGGCTGGCGACGTGTTGAAAGTCCTAAAACGGCAACTAGTCGCGACCTCCCTAGCTTCACCGGCTTTGCCGGCAACTCAACCCATGATTGAACGTCTAAGAGGACACGGACCTTGCAAATAGATATAAAACGTTCAGAAAGAAGAGGTGATGGGGGATGCGGAAGATACGAATGCCTAGCAGCTAATCAGGAATACGACTGTGGACATCAACAACCTCAACATGACAGAAACTTATCAGTCTACCATTGTCCCCGACGGCAACCGAGCGACAAAAGATATCTCCAACCTCTACAGCAGAGTCGATCACTCTTTCGCTATCAAAGGAAATTCCCAAGGAAAACCACTCGTCTCCTCATGGGATCCCACCATCCAAGACACACTCTCCTCGCTTTTACGCTGGACGGGCTCCTACTCGGCCGAGTCGCAGGAGCACTATCTCAAGTTTGCGCGTGAGGTTGTGGTTCCCCGTCTCAACCCGCCTCGCGCGGCCGACTGGCCTCATTACATCGGAACGCACAACCATGGGCCATACGAGCTAAGCATCGCCTTTTCGCCTCATAAAAAGGCCAAAGTACGGTTTTCAGTACAGCCGCTGGCTGAGAGCCATGTGGTCGATGACCCCCTAGGGCAAAAGGATCTACGAAAGAAATGTGAAGATTTCGCGTCTGCATGCCATGCAGACCGTGATCGACTGGATAACTTTTTCGATTCAATCTTCCTCACTGAAGAGGAGCAGGCCGGGCTACTTGAGAAGCATGCTGGTCGCAGTGACGCGGCCGGTGCGCTGCCTCAGCAAAATTGTTTCGTTGCATTCGATCTCGAGCCCGTTGATAGCGGCAGCCCGGCTGTTAATATGAAGCTGTATTTGTTTCCGCAGCTCAAAGCTCTTGCAACAGGCAAGGACCTACTAGACGTCACAGAGTCCATTCTGAGACGACTTGCCGGTGGTGATAAGGAGCTGCTAGCATCCTGGCAAATGGTTCGATCATTTCTAACCTCTGATGGCAAGGATAATCTCATACATTTCCTTGCCATCGACTGTCTGGGGCCCCAGATGAAGCCTCGATTCAAAGTCTACACCCACACTCATGTTAACTCGCTCGCCTCAGCCCGTCGTGTCATCACTATGGGTGGTCGTGTCCCCTCACCGAAGTATCTAGATACTCTCTGGCCCCTCCTTATGGATATGGAAGATGTTTCTCTGACTGATAGAGAGGGACTGCAAAAGCCTCTCCGCGAACCGGAAAGCAAGTACTGTGGGCTTAATCCAACGTTTGAGCTGGGTCCGGGCAACGCAGTTCCGGTGGTCAAGATGTATGTGCCTATATGGCAATACGCGCGCGACGAGCCCGGGATTGTGCGTCGCTACCAGCGCTTGCTACAGACGCAGGGTTTGGGGCATTACGATATTGAGGCTGCTATTCAATGCGTCTTGTGAGTAACCGAATCTATTTCAGAAGCTCACACTCATGAACAACAACTAATTCTTTGAACATAGTGGCGATGAGAGGGATACAAGCCTGCATAATATGGCATCAATCGTCTCTACGGGAGGCGGGGAAAATGTAGCCTTTACCGCCTACCTCGGGCCAAAGTTCTGGGACTAAGCGTGGTCATCAATCTCTGAAATCTTCATTTTCACTTAGTTTCGAAAATTGATAACATGGAATGTTCTGATTGCTATCTTCAAATGCGCTGCGGGAGTATTAGTGCCAAACTGAATGTGAGACGACCTCGGCAAGAGCCTCTGCACAACAATTGCGGGAAATGATATGCACGCTTCCCAATACAACGACGCCACCCACTACCGTTCAGACATGGAATGAATCTTACCGTATAGGTTTAGACTCAGATACAAATGTAAATTGATACAGACGTTTGTTTTTGTTCAGCCTGTGTATAATACACTGCTCCATACTTACTTGGTGATAATCTCATACGTCTTAATTTTGGAAAGGGCTTTCAATTGGAGTTCAAATATAGATCCGGTCCTGCGCGTCTTTTCAATTCTTACACGTTTTACTTAGTCAGACTTTAGAATTCCCCACATAAGGATTAACAGAGGATAGGACGCCTTAGTTCATCTATTGCACCATCGTGATCATATTTAGTAGAATAAGAGATGCTGTGATAAACCGCCACCTTTGAGATACTGACAGAGTAGTAAATTGTCATTGTTCATGAGTAGAGGGTTTGAGATGCCGTTAATCAATCTATACACTACCTGAATCTCGAGGTGGATTTGGAGGGCGAAGCGGTGGGTCTTCGCCAGGCTTCTTGAGGCATTTCTTTCTCGCATCACCCCACACCGAGCAAGGCATAGCCTTGATCGTCCTCTCCTTGGTGTAGTTGGTTCATCACGTTCGACTGTAATGGTTCATCCCTTGTCATCGAAAGGTCTCTAGTTCGATTCTGGAAGGAGAGAATTTATCTTTTTGCGCTGCTTGTGTTCCACGCAGAGCTACAAATCTCTCCAGCTTTACTTTAAACCCCATTCCACATTTTTGATTTGCCGGGGTAACCCAAATGGGTTCGGACTCATTGTGACCTGTTGTGGAAGTACGTATCTGTGTCCTGGGTTAACTCGCACTCGATGCGATAAATAGACGGATTCCTCGCGTTTGTTCAACCATTGGAGTGAGTGGCGCAAGTTGTACGACTCTTTTGTTTCGGTCGTAGACTTTTAGTGGATGTAAAACGCATGCCTGACTATCTACTTTGAAATGACACCTACCCTTTTAAGTCAAAGCACCCACTTTTGGGCACCCCCCCCCTTTTGGGCACCCTAACAAAACATAGTATCTAAATATCAATACTAACTATAATTAATTAATTAACTACCTTCTACTACTATAATAATATAATTAAAATTTTCCTTAAGTAATTCGACCCCTATAAGTTAATTAGGACTAACTAGATAGTTACTAAAGTCCTCCTAAGCTCTCTATATATTTTAGATATTTACGAACTTAGTATTTAGGTCTATTAATATACTTTTTTAGGCCTTATATACTTAATCCTAGCCTTAAGAACTCGAACTTAGTATTAAGATGTGGCTAATTAGTAGGCCTATTCTTTAAAAGCTTTTTTTATTTTTTTAAATAGTAGTCGTTAAGTACTATTATCTAAATTAAGCTTTATAAATAGTTTTAAGTAATTATAGAGCTTACTAGCCTTTTTAGGAATTAACTAATTAATAATAGAGGTTATTAATACTTAGTTAAGTAGTTTATTAGTATTATTAGTTATTTACTTAGCTTTTATACCCCTTTTAAATAGTATAATTTATATAAATAGGATTATTAAGTTAAGAAATAGCTTAGTTATATTAAGTAGCTATAGTTTAATTACTTTTTACTTATTTTATATATTTAACGATATTAAACTAACTAAACGAACGAGCTAGTAATAGCTTAAAAAGTATTACTTTTTAACGATAATAAAATTATTTATTATATCCTCTTTACTAAGCTCCTTTTTATAATAAGACTTAATAAGCTTAAAAATAGCTATATTTAATAACTAAAAAATATAAGAAGTATATAGTAATAAAAATAATAAGTAGACGTTATTTTTATAATACTCTTATATAAATTTTATTCTTATATAACTCCTATACCTATTTAGTATTAATAATCGAGGCTAGTTTAGCTTACTAAGCCCCTTAATAAGGGGGGTCTTAATTTATAATAAGAATACCTCTTTTAACTAATAAAAAGTAGTTTCGTTAGTCGTTTAGTTATTATTTATTATTATAAATTTTTAATTATTATAAGCGATAAGTTAAAGGGGGAACTATTATTATTAAACCGACTTTTTTTTATAAATAATTAGTAGTTTAATAACTTTACTATTAATAAAAATATACTTAACAATCGTTACTTAGGTATGCGAACTAGGCTCTTTTTTTTTATATTACTATAACTTTTATTATGCCTAAGATTAGTTTATTAGCTCCCTTACCCTCTGTTATATTAGTTTTATTTATATTATACTTATTAACCTATTTAATATTACTAATTTTTAGTATATTAAGTAACCTAAACTATAATTTAATTATATTAATAGTAGCTTTATTAATATAGCGCGAATTTATTAAATAACTTTTCTAGATCTTTATTAATAAATTCTTTTTAATAAAAGCGTTAATTTTTTTTTTTTTAAGTAGTTTAGTATCCCCCTAGGATCTTAGAACTTATTTAGTAAATTCTTTAACTTATTTATAAGTTAGTATAATACTTAGGTAATATTAAATTCGAATTTATTAAGCTAGCTAGTCTTTTTATTATAAAAAAAGCTTCTAAAGCTTTACGAATACCCTCGCCCTTGCTTAGTAACCTCTTTTTTAACCCTAAAGTATTATCTTAAGAACCCCGAACTCGATCGAGGCCTTTTTAATAAAAAGACCGTTTTTAATAGTATTAAGTACTTATTAAAGCTTATTTTTAGTATACGATACTATTACTTATTAATTAGTAAGTATATTAAAAAGGAATATATTTAGACGATTTTTATAATTGTTATGTTGAATTGAAATAATAAGTAAGGTTTTAATGTAGTGGCTGGGAGGGATTTTTTGGGGTGCCTAAAAGGGGGGGGGGGGTGCCCAAAAGTGGGTGCTTTGACTTAATAGCGATAACTAGAGTTTCTGAGAAAGCGATATTAGCCGTGTCAGACCTACTTACCTATATGAGTAGGTGGAGCTGAGCGAAGTAGGAATGTTACCACTCGCAGCAACTCTTGCTCTGGGGCCCCATGCCAGATACTGAAGTTTAGGCAACTCACCTGTGTCATCAAATAGGTTACTAACAAAAAGGCTTTGATCACGATTTTACCGCAGTTTGTTACGGATGGTGTTGATATGAGTGTATCGACAGGGTATTTTTCCTTGTGTGTGGTTGAGTTGACATGCAGCTATATTACGAATACCACTCTTGGTTTCGACTTCTAATAAAGGTCTGTTGGACAGTAGGAGCACATCTGTTGGCATCATTCGATCTGATTCTGGCTCCTGTATGTCGGTTTCATTCAAAGAACCCCTTACATCCAATAGGCGTGTGTGCCTATAGAAGTGCACCTGACACCCTCGCCTCCCCAACCGCGTGTTCCCCTCATTTCCCTCACTTCACGTGGATCTTCCCGTCAACAACTTCCACTCAGCCACGTACCTGCGCACTCTAGCCATGACCCGCCGCAAGAAGCGTACCACCAAGGCCGAAAACTTCGTCTACAGCCACGATGAACTCGTATTGCTCATCAAAAAACACTATCAACTGCTGATTGACATGGCTTACTTCGAGCCCGAGGATGTCCGTTGGCCACCGGAGCCCGCGGGATGGTCCGACGAAGACCTGAATGTGAACGCCTTGCAAATGTTGGGTCGCGACATCAAGGTCATTCAACTACTTCGACATATTCCTTATCCCCGCAAAAAGAACACCGAGGTCTATTTCGCGTCCATGGCTATTTCCTACCTACATGAGCACTGGCAGCCCGAGAACGGCCGCCGAGTCAACTGGCACAAGAGGTCGTTCTGTGCACTTGGCCTGGCGCCTTTTGACGGTCCAATGCCACCGCATCTCATCACCCTGACTTGTGAAGAGTCGGAGATAGGAATCACTTGGGTAATTGATACCGATCGAGGTGAAATCAAACCCACCAAGCTTGCCAGATATTTACTGATCCACTGCGTCTCATCTGTCAGGCTGTGTCTATCCTCACGCGGATGAATACTACTTATTCGACGACGAGCCTGCTGAGGTCGACGAACAGCAGATGTGGTGGCTCAAAGCAAAGGCTCTCTCGTTCAAAGAGTTCTTTGACAAGATTCGAACACAGATTTCTTCTTTAACACTTGTGCCGGCTCCTGCGGCGGGAGATCTCGGGAAGAGCATTTTGCAGAGCGGGGACTCTGGATCGGAGGTGAGCGTACACGTGGATCAACCGGTGAATTTCTCTCCATATGCATAAAACGTGAGTGCTGACTTACCTATGGCATCTTCTAGGGTATCAAGAACTTGTATTATGGGTGCGGCTGGCCAGGGCCTTTGCGTAAGGAGGAGTTCCTCCAGGAAGTTTTGTCAGTGCGTGAGGCCGGTATGCAAGAACTATCAAGTCAATATGATGAGTTCCAGAACTCTTGACGCAGTCCTGGCATACTTCAATGTTATTGAACTAACCCAAGTTTTGAGTAAGGCAATAGACATCAGGCACCTTTTTAAATAGTATGATATGATAACTTGTCCACTTAAGTCTGCTTAGAATTCGGCTTAAGAAATGCAAAATGTGAGCTCGCTCTAGAAGATATTATTTGGGTGACCTTTTTGCACTTGTCTTATGATTTGCTGTTCCCATATCACTTAACTCCTATCATCTTGCAAAACTTTGTTCCGCGGTGGGCGTTGCCATTCCAGCGTGATGTTGCCTTCCTTTCTCTCGTTGCGGCGTAATCTGCTCCAATCCGTTTTCAGCTGGACAGTTTCATTTCCTTCCTTATCAACGGCGGTGTACTCTCTTCTCGGAGTTTGGAGCGGAGGCCAGTCTACTGGCTCCGGCGCTTCCGTATAAACAGATATACCTTTCTCTTCCCGCCTCTTTTTCACCCAGCGATTGAGATATGATCGATATTCCGACACCGGATGGTCGAGCTGTACCTCTGGATGCTTGGGCCATGTGAACAGCCCTTGAACATCATCCGGGTTCTGTTCCTCGTGGGGCACATGCCTGAAATGGTCATCGCGAGTAATGATCTCGTACAGGGTGAAGATAATACCATTGACATCGTTCCGATTTTCGATATAACAGGGACCTCCGATGCGGCCCGAGAAGTTGAAGTCAAACAGCTGCAAGCTATCTGTCGACGGATCGACTAATAGATTCCTTGCAGCAATATCTTGATGCATGATGCCGTGCTTCAGGTTGAGAACGTCCACGACATTAGTCAACTGCTCGAACCATCTGAGTTTGAACACGCGGGATTGGTCATCCTCAAGTGTTCCGCCAGGAATAAATACACTTGTGAACCCAACAACGCGGCCCTTCAGTTCATCCACCACCAGCCGATCGAAAGGAACAATATTTGGGTGCCGAGGGAGACGCATCCATAGATTCAATTCATTCCAAACCCTTTGAATGAACTGGAAAATAAAGTAGTATTTGAAGATGACTTTCTTTGGTTCATTGTCGTTTGGATGTGGCTGATACGACACAAGATCAGTGTCGGGACCGAGCCGATCAATTTCCTTGAGCTCAGAGCGAATGATTGTCCTGATGCCCTCAGGCCGCTGGACCTCCTCTAGAGGCGGATAATATACGCAAAAGGTTTCGTCATCTTCGGGGTCGTTGGACATGGAAATCAAACTCCCTTCTGGAGAGACTTTGATTGCGTACACATGAGCCGGGAGAGTATCGATAATTTTCTTGAGGATTTCCACGGCTAGATCCTCGCTTTCTTGCTGCCCATCCATGGTTACTGCTATTATTCTTCTCTGGTCATCACTGAGAATGTACCATGTACTGGGCCCTCCGGGAAAGATGGCCCCACTCGGAGCCCAGTACTGAAGCTCTGGATTGGTCATTTTTTGCTGACGTGTGATGATGGCTGCTGGTGTGGTCGCAAAAACGACGAGGCAGGATACGGGGAGGTTAATAAAGGAACTGCCAGCAATTAAGCGGGCCGATGACTCAAGATGAAAGCCTTGGATAGATACTCGGGGTAAAGAGGACGGCCGAGGTGGGTGAAGTGGTTCTCACCGGTCTAGTCCAGGTAAGTAGATCTGGAGCTGTCAACCAAGGGCGAAAATGAGGCAGGGACAGAGTGTTGGGGGTCTTACGAAGCGGGGTAAACGGAGTTGAATATATAAAAAGCTTGAAAGGATTTCAATAATTATTTAGTTAGTCCTAATCGACTTATAAAGATTAAATTACCTAGAGAGAATAATAATTACATTATTATAATAGTAACTAGGAGATAGTTAATTAATCAAGTATAATTAGTAGCGATATTTTAATACTTTGATTTTTGGGGTGGCTGAATTGGGGGGGTGGCCAAAAGGGGGTAGCTCGACTTAACCATAACATCACTCGCAATGTTGTCCTTCTAGGGTTTCACTTTCGACAGGACTCAGGCATGGTCAAATCATAGCCATTGTCGCATCGCACGAATAGTGATGACGGCAATGGATTGTTTGTTTGTCCATCCATTGCACGCCTAAATGGTTTCAAATTTTATATGGTAACTTGGCCTACGTAGTGCGTGGGATCATTGCAATGCTGATTTCATCAGAGCCCTTCATAAATTAAGAGGCTCTGAACACTAACTCGTCCAAACCCACGACTACGTAACATTTGCCTGCCACGATGGCATGGGAACTCAGCCACAGTCATCACACTGGTTCTCTCAGCCTCTATTCCTGCTTTTTTTAACAGCTCTAGAACCGCGTACACTGTTTCTCCAGACGCGAACACGTCATCCACAATCAGAACTGACGTTGCACTCCGAATCACATCTTGATTCATCTCAAATCTTCTCCCTCCTAGCATGTTCGGCCCCGATGAGATGTGGGACACAGACTTGGCGACAGAAACAACCGGCGGCGGTAGCTTGCCGGCCTCTCGGATCGGGACCAAGGGTAGACCAACCTGTAACGCCAGTGCTGACGCAAAGATGAAGCCGCCCGCCTCGCAGCTGATAATGGCGTTGACATTTGACCAAATTCCCGTGAAGTGAGACTGGAAGAGAGAGGTGCATAATGCCAGACCACCCGGTGTCTGGGCAATGTCGAGGATGTGGCGAAAGTCGATGCCAGGACTTGGGAAGTCTGGTATGATACGCACCATATCGCTTAGCCGTTTTAGGTCTTGATGTATGAATGGAAAGAGACGATTCTCTGCGAAGGCTCTCACATTGTCACTTCCCGCGATGTTGTTGTGGAAAGACAAGTTGGGCCTGCAGTCCCTTACACGCGTTGCTCGCTTGCCATCCTCCTTCTGTGAACCATCGCGACCTTCTGTGTCATTGCAGAATCCTTGCCGAAGTTGTTTGACACTAGATCCTGCGCTGATCCGAACCTCAATAAGTCTGCTATTCGGCACGAGGTGGCCCAAAGTTGCGACAGGTGCCTCATCCCTCATGCCTGTAATGAGCAGTACATCCGCACTAGCAGCGCCGTAGACAACGTTTAGGAAGTTATCCACTGGTAGATGAGAGTTTTCACGTACGCGATCATGGAAGAACGCCGTCAAGCCCGGCCGGTGCTTCTCCTTATACTCTCGGTCGCTGAGCAATCGATCTAAGTCCACACCCGCAACCGCCGAGAACTCTCGCTTGATGGAATCGCTTATACTGGCAACACGCGCAATGTTGCCACATCGGTTGAAAAAGTCACCCCAGATCTTAGCGCAGTAGTCTTTGCCGGCACAGCTGTCCCCAGTAACCGCGATAATGAGGCCTGGTTCAGTTGGTCGCAGTGGGAGAGGGCAGGTGTAAGCAAGTACACGACGTGGATCTGCAAGACATTTGAGGCGAGCTAGACGAGGACCGTTTGAACCGAAGGCTCTAGCTGCCAGCGTTGCATCCCGGGGATCCGGTCCAAGGTCGGCACCGTAAACTCCGGTACTGAGCGGTAGCAAGGTCTCGGCGACGGTGTAGACCCACTCCATCGCCACCCGGGCAGCAACAGATCCGTCTTGCTCGCGGGGCCAGACACCGGTGATGACGCAGGCAAAATCCCAGTCACGGCAGCCGAAGGCGGTGGCTGATACCGGCACGTCACGGATTGCTCCGCCGCCTTGGAGGAGGTGAAGGTAACTGAGCGGAGAGGGGCGAGTCCGGACGGCTGATGCTAACGCGTTTGCAACCATGGCACTTCCGATATCCTTGAGGAATAGGCAGCGTTTGAAGGAAGATGTCTTGCCTCCAGCGTGACCGCCGTGCATACCTGACATGTACATCTCAGTCTCAAAGAGGCTGACGCTGTCAACGATCTTGATGTTGTGCTCCGGACCCAGAATCGTGGCCACGGGTGTAGGGATAGGCATGGGTGTTCTAGGCACTTCCCCAGCAGTCGAAGCTTCGTACATGGTAACGCCGAGATGGAGTTTTCCAGTGTCCCAGTATAGATAAGCGTCAGCAGAGTTATGCCGAGAAAGTTGACTGGCAATATCCCGGTCAAACTCGGCAAGCTTGCGTTGCGCCTCATCGCCGTCACGCAGCGGTATGACCCAGTTCCTGACCAAGAACGCTGGGGCCGGCTGTGCCGCAAAAACAACGCTAATGACGATCCCAAAGTTGGTTCCCGCTCCTTTGACAGCCCATAGCAGTTCTTCCTCGTTCTCTGGGCGTATGGCACCGATTGGCTGGTGTTGCGCAGGTACATGACCGATGCATAGAATCTTTGCCGAGTTGACGCTGACGACAAGCGCACCGACAATAGCGTCACAAGCGAGCCCGTGAAGCCTGGACAGATGTCCGATGCCGCCCTGAAGCCACAAGCCTGCTCCAACACTTGGCCGAGACCCCAGAGGCACAGTGAGCCCCTTTGCCATGGTCTCGCGGATGATGTCTCCCGTCTTGCTACCGGCACCGGCCATGACCAGGCGTCCGGCTTCCCCTGTAACAACATGGACATGATTGAAGGCGCTCATGTCAATGGCGACAGTTTGAGGCCAGACGCAATGACCGCTGTGTCCACCACCCACGACTGTCAACGCAGTTCGGTGCTCCAAAGCCCATCGAACACACTCCTGAACTTGATGAATGTGTCCTGGTCTGATCATAGAGGCGGGACAATAGAGACGAGCTTCCCGATTCTTGACATGCACGTCCCCAGCAGTTACCGGCAATTGTGAAGTCAATTCTGGTAGCGCGGTCGAGTGTCGCGAGAAGGTCATCATGATATCAGGCGCAGCGAAAACGAGGTCGTCAATGTCGCGGCGGCCGACTGCGCGGCAATTTTCCCGCCATTCTTGTAGAACTTTGTCAGACTTTGGTACAAAGCCTGCAATGAATGAGGCGAAAGAGTTGAGCGAATCGTTGGTGTCTGCTACGCGAACTTTACCGGTCGGGAAGTTGGAGGTTAGATGAGGGACCAGACTAGCCAGGCCGAGCGGGCCATCTCTATGGAAAAGTATGGCTCTGCTGTTTGCTGTGTGTTCGTCGAGAAGACCAAGTGCGGCACAGATATAGTCCTCTTTAGGGGTCATGCCGTACATGCTGTGACAAAACAGAACGATATCAAACTTATCGTCTCCCAGGGCCTTGACTGAATTCTCAGGATCGAATGGAGCCTTCCTAATGTCGGGGCCCGTCTCAAGACATGGCAGGGCAGCCTCCTCAGTTGATAGAAGGCCTGCTTCTAATCTCGAAGCAAACAGACTGTTTGGCTCAAAAGCAGTGTACCGTTTGATCTTTCGCTTCATATCATGGGGCAGATCTTCAAGCACGCTCCGCGGTCCAGGTCCAATCTCTAGAACCGAGATGCCCAAACGCGGGCGAGTAATTGGGGTGAGGAGCTGACATAGTTGAGGGAGGATGAAGTCTCGGTATGCCGTACATCTAGAACTTGGTTCGAAGAAACTAAAGCCAGCGCTGTATTGTGCATCAGATAAAGGCCGGGGTGCTACATGTACTAATCCATGGGATGCGGCCTGCTGCTTCAGATCGCGCTTGAGAGAATTCAATGTTGCCATTGTTAATGTCGATGAAACTGCGAGGCTTCTAATTGTGAGAGAAGATATTGTTTCAATTTTGAAAAATCAAAGGGGGCCATGGCGCTTTATACAACACAAGAACTGAGCGAACAGGCTGGGCGCTGCGGCGGCTTGCCGCAATGTTGAAGTTTGTTTTCTCCAGTTGCGTCGACGCGGGGTCACACAATATCCACATCAAGTTGTCTCTGCTATTATTTCAGCTGGCCTCCGGCATATGGTAGTTGCTATGGTGTCCTCTTGACCAATAACTAGCCGGCGTCATGCATGCGGCCTGCCGTGTCATGGTGTGAGCAATCTTTGCGCCAATACATAGCCCAGGTGTCCGTCGATCCCTCATGTGAGTTTCGACTGATCTCGAATCTTTGTGTCACTTTCAGGCCTTGATTAATGAGAAAGAAATTAGGGACGGGTAAGCCAAGACTTCCTCCCACAATTCCGTTCAATTGACCGGCAGCCACACCAGCTTCGGAACGAACCCTGACATTTGCATATACTCTCCTTCCTCAACCTTTTTGCCTGTCTCTAGATCTGTTACAATGATCCTCAACTTGTCTCCTTGAGAGAGCTGATCCTGGAAACTCTCAGCGGGGAGAACTCTAGTTGCACTTGGCTTGCGACATCTGCCTTTGTTCGGCGGTCCTGAATCCTCTCTTCCTCGACCCATCCCTAGCCGTGTGACCTGACCGATAAAACCGTGGTTTCCCATAGCATCTGAACACGTTGAACTGGTTTTAGGGGTAAAAATGTCTATCCTATAGCTGGATACGGTGCAACCAACTTCAGTAAAGACAACATAAGGAACGAGCCTCTTTGAGCCAGAACTGTCGGGAGAGTCAATGTCGAAAGAATCTTTCTTCTTACCCGGCAAACCACACGGCAGGACAATAGCTTGTCCCCCACTTGATACAGCAGAACGAATACCTTTCTCTTCAGCTGTTTTGATTGTGGAAAAATCAGAGCTTGCAGGCTCGCCATACATGTAGCCTAATGCACGTGTGTCTTTGGCCATATCACCAATAGTGGTATAGTGCCAGCGGCGCGTGTCATCATAGTTGACGCTGGTCCCATTGTTGATAAAAGGCTGCAGTGGAAACCGAGAAGTGAATTGGTTCTCTGGGTTTGCGTCCATGAAAACACCGGCCAGTCGATCCATGTTGGCGTGATAGGATAAGAAGATGGGGTCGAAAGCAGTATAAGTGTTGTCGGCCTAGCGTTATGTTAGTAATAGCGACCAGCTCAACCAGGGACTAAACAGCTTACCATGTCGTTGCCAACCCAGCCATGAAAGTTGTCGTGAACTTGCTCAAACAGACCATCAAAGTCGAAACGAAACGGATAGTCTTCATCAGGCTGCTTGTCGCTGAAATCAACAATATTTGCCCACGGTTTTCCGAAGTGCTGAGCTGATTCTGATGTTGTATAGGTTGATTGCTGCAGGGCATGGGATATTTGCTCATGGTAAATTTTGAATAGTTCAATTTTTTCTTTCCAACCAGGAGCTGTTGGGCCTTGCGTCAATATTGGATTCCGCGTCACGGTACTAAAATTACCCGGTCCATCTTTTGACTTTCCGTCCAAGGCTTTGGCAAAGCGAAGCGGATTCGGTCTGGTTTCGCCTCCCGGGTGTTGATAGGTCTGCTCAAGGAACATTGGAGGAATTCCAGCGAACTTGGATGTTGCACATGCAGCTTCTTTCGCATATCCATTCCAATAAGGAATAGGGAAGTCGATCAATTCTTCCACATATCGCAGATAAGCTCGATGCCAAAGGAACGTGGCTTCTTGATAGTGAAGACACCAGTATGCATCTACCATATGTGTTTAGCTAATTCCCTTTCATTTAATCCTGTCATTTCATCAGGATATCAAACTCACGAAGAAGTCCCAAGTCCTGCCATTTAGACCCTAGTTCCCGAGCGCCGAGAATGTCGTCTAGCTTGGCCTGGTAAACCACGAGTTCCTCGCGGCTCAGGCTCATGATGTCTTTCCTCACTCTGAAGGTTATCGGCGGGTCATTTGGCTCAGGAATGACTTGGACAGAGGTCTTTGTAGGCTGACAGTCGGAGTCTCGCGGGAAACCATTGTTTGCCCACATGCGAAATGTCTCGAGAGCACTCTCTGGCCAATAATGATCTGGGTTTCGAGTTACGGGCATTGACTTAGAGCGAAGATGTCTGTAGATACCAAGTGCCCTTTTCCTGACGTCGTCATAGTTGGAAAGGTCCCATTTGCCCCAGTAAAGCATTTCGTTTATCCACCTTTGACCTATTACCTCGGGATTCTTGGTCACCCAGTAGGGCGCTTTGATGAGAGGAGAGATGTCGTCCTCCCAGTTGGGTGTCCTTTGAACGTCTTCCATAGATACCGGGGACTTAAGACTAGTCATCTTTACCAATAAGAGAGTGTGATGGGTAAGAATTTGGATTCAATTAGAATGGAGGGAGAAATTGACATCGCTACAGGCTGAGCGACAAAGGGAGATTTTTGAGGAATGAAGTATGCGATCATAAGCAGTCAGTAATCCAACATATATAGTGCGGGGTCTAAAGACACATCTTGATTGATAAGTCTGCCACCATTCTGTGCTCTAAACAAAGGGTCACAGATAAGGCGCACCTCACGAGTTCCAAAATGGCTGGCATTGATATGAGTGGCGGGCTGAAATCCCGTCCTGGCACACAAAATTCTCTTTGGTTGCATCATTGATTCTTCATAATCGATCAGTCGCCGAGAGACATACTTTCTATCAGTCACTCGAAAGTCTGGAACCGTAGATCTCCAGTTGCGTCTTAGGTGGCGTCGAGCTAAGCTAGGCAGCTGAGCTTTCTGCAGAGTGACTATTGAAAGCATGTAGCTCGCCGAATACGAGACATAAGAACATGGCTGTATGCAGTTAAAATCCCATGAAGAAATCTCGCATTGGTTTATAGCAGACATCGTCACTGTAAGCTGATAGTGTAATGGGAAATACAGGGTCTTCGACTGTTAATCTTATATAAAGCAACAAGCCGTTTGATCCAATCAGCTTATATGCAGCTTCAGTCAGGGAAATATGAGCTCCAACATTGGCGAGTTCTTTAAGAAGTTTCATGTTGGGGGCCTAACGAATACAACTTTAAGGATTCAATACTTGGGTGCAGTCAAAGCCATCAATCGGCAATTTCTCTCGGCTTCCTGCCCATTGGCTTAATAGATAGCCTTCGGAGTGATGGATTGGTAGTCCGGCCCGTTAGGAGGACCGGGTTCTGGCATCCCCATATAGCCCGACGGTCCATTCTTTGCTTCTACTCTCAGATCCATTGCCTCTAGATCAGAAGTTGTGACAACCGCATTGAATTCAACCCTCGGGTCGCCCTTTCGATCAGAAGGTGTGACAACCGCATCGACCTCTCCCATCATCTTGAAGAGAACAGGACTCCCCAAAACCTTGGGCTCAATAAACGGCTTCTGGAGGTACGGCTCAGTGTAGGTAAGTGCAGGCTGAGGTTTTCCAGGCCACGCTTCTCCATCCTTCCGAGGCTCTGGCTTCGGGCCAACAACGCCAGAAACGCTCATGAAGATGTAATCGGCAAATTGGCTTCCATAATGCACGTAGCGACCTCCGTTGTTTTGGTCAAAAAGATCGCTCAGATTAAGGTCGCGGGTATTGTCATCAGTCTTGAGACCTTTGGGAATAGACACGCGAAGATGAAGGCCCATGTTCTTGGTAATATCACCACGGTCACACCAGTCAAAGACCCCTTCGGGAACCGGCACCATTTCTCGAACGTTTCCTCTTCGCTTACCGGTGCGATCTAACAGGAAGGACGAGAAGTCTGCGTCGTACATGTACAGAGCGACAGGATCTTTGACAGAGATTGTGACCGGGATGTGACACACTGTATCGCGAGCCAAACGACAGACTTCGTTGACTGCGGCACCAATCTACAAATCGTTAGCCTCGAATAGCTCTCACCGAACAGCAACAGAGTCTCTCACAGTCGGGTCAGAATTCCTGCTCGGATTACCATAGGCAGATCCATCTCCGCAAAGGGTAAGCATGTTGGTAATAGGTTCACCGTACACCAAGTCGGTCCTTGTGACAGTGGCTTGAGCAGCGATGTCAATCTCGGCACTAAGGCTATTGTTGATTTGGATGAGGTGGGCAATGGTGCCAGTATTGGTGTGGCCATTCCACCTGTTATAGATGTTGTATTTACCTTCGTCGTCCACTAGGTGATCTCCTTTAATCTCATGTGCAAAATCGGGGTTCAGCTTCTTATAAATGTTGAGGATCTTGTTGTTCCTCTCATGCTTTTGGGTTGCTGGGTTCCTAATGGGAGTTTCGGTCAGAATGGGATTATACTTCGCAAGTTCTTCCCAGTACTAGTCATCAGTCAGTACAAAGATCATCCTTGTAAAGAAGAATTGGCTGCAACTTACCTCTGGACCTTCGCAAGTGAAGCTCACAATCTGAACATCTCCATCAACCTTTTTGGTAGACCATTCCAAGTATTCGTCCATCACCCAACGATCCTCCCTTTGTCGAGGTACCTCAACAACTTCATCCTCCCCCGTCTGCTCGTTCTTCTTATGGAACTTCAGAATCTCAGGATCCAAGCGTTCTGAAGGAGCTCGCTGGTTTTCCGGATCCTCCGCGTATGCCCATCGAGCGTCATCCGTAGGCTGCTTAATTCTGACCTGATAACCGTTTAGACGAGTGCATAGAAGGCTGGTGAATAACTTGCATTCAGAGGGAAGCCAACCCAAGTGATGGGTACAGGCGGCAGAGACGAGTTGTAGGCAAAGTGACGAGGGTTAAAGAACTGAGTAAGAATCTTCCTCCCTGGGAGTCTGCCTGCTATCTCGTCACCGAACCAACCGTCAACAGTCTTGGACCATCTTTCAAGCTGTTCACCCTCAAAATCATCCAAGAAGGCAGGAGGATGAAACTTGTCGAGCTTTCTGAGTTCAGACATTTCGGCGGAAAACTGACGACAGTGAAGATGGAAGGAGTACGTGAGAAGCGGAAGTTAACTTGTGAAATGAAGTGCATATCTAAAGAGAAATGCCTTCGCTCTATCTTCTGGACATGCTCGAATACTATGAAAGTAACAATCTTCCTACAATTGGCCGGAAACAATGTTCCGACCTATGTGATACACCATGCATACATTTGTTCCAGATTTTCAAGTCTGGCCGCTCTGAGGCTGGCTGAGATCGAACGGCTGATGAACCTAGCCTACTGCACTTTCTGTCATTTTACAAGCTCGTATTGAGACACAGTCGTTGACTCTGATATGTCTCATCATCACATAGCGTACGTTGACGAATCAAACGCTCATCGAGAGTTGATAGTGCAAGATAGAGGCTTACGTCGTCACAAGCCTTTACCCATGTTGGGAAAGGTTATGTCTGGTCCATAGTCTGGTGTGTGCGGGGTATCGCCGATGGTTTTGGTTACATATCATAAACCACAAGCTAATGAATGGGCCGAGCCTAGCCTCTGACGGAAATGGAATTCAGCCTCTCTAGAGCAAGCCACAAAAGGCTCGTTTGCTAATCGGACACATTCAACTGGTTACGAAGATTCAGCTCAGAGGACATCCGCATATTTGAATCACACACTAGCGTTTCTTAAGGCACTGCACATCTGTATCGCTGGCTTCAATTGCCTCTAGAGTGAGACGTGATGTGATGAAGCTCGATGAGGTTGCTTGCAGTGTATCAGCTGTCTCACCAATGTACTTGGCTACTCGCGTTCTTTTACCCTGTTCCGGTAGACATCCAGAGTTTTGAACTCAACATAAATCTTCAAGCGCTCCTTGCCACATTTTTGCAGCAACTATTGTCCCATCACTCACACGAGACACAATGACTGACCCTAAGCGTGGGAATTATGAAGATATCAACCAGACACTCTGGTATCGAAAGTTCATTCGTGGAATAAAGCCACAGACAAAAGAACCGTATCCTGATGAAGACACGCCCGCCACGCCTGAACAACTCAATGACGACTTCATCGATTATTGGGGCAAACGACTAAAGACTGATGAAGCGTTCAGGAAGCACAATACGTACAATGAGCTGATGACCCAGTTTTGGGGTGAGTAAAATTTTCTCGTCAGGACTGATTGATTCTAACGATAGGCAGAGGATCCAGACATAATCCTGCAGACTTACGCCGTCGCAGACGGTCAAACAGTCCCAAGGAACAAACAGAAATCCTGGTTCAGATCCGAGCTTCGTTTCATCTCCGTCATCTTTCCCACTGATGCAAACCACAAGAAAGATGGCAAGGCACCAATCGGGTCTGTTTCGTGGGCGCCCTGGTTTGTGCTTATAGCAGCGTAAGTAAACGGGTCAACAGTTTGCTGTCTTTCGGGCTAACACATCAGCTCCTCTTCCATCCATTCCGAAAAGGATATCCTCCACATCATGAGTTGGTCGCGTGAGGATGGTCAATTCAGGTACTATGCTGTAAGTTGAAGTTCATTTCCTGTTAAGTGTTCAAAGTTGATTGAGATGGTAGCGCGATCTTATCATGAATGATGAAGCCAGAACGCAGCACGGCTGGGTATATCTCTGCTCTTCAATGGATGCTTTCGATGCTCCAGGCAAAGCATACCTGGGTCCTTTAAATGGTCATGTTAATGGAGGAATCGTCATGAAAGAGATACACAAGTAAGTTATCATCGGGCTGATATAAACCAAGGTGCTTGCTAACGCGGTTTATAGGCCTTGGATGCACTGGCTTGTTGGAGGTAGAGGAGTGACAGATCTTCTTGATAAAGAGCTCATTTCAGAGCTTACGGAGGCGAGATGGCTCACTTATCCTGGATCCCCCCCTCTCTACGGTGCAAGTGTGCAATCTGGTGAGACTTTCGAAAGAATAGTGCTGGACTCTGCCAGAGTCTGGTTTACTAGCCGACGGAACAAGGATTTTTTGACGGAGAAAGGAGGGACTAAAACATGCCCGGATAATATCCAGCGTTGGGCAGCGCACTTTTTCCTGACGACCAATATCAACATCGCTGCTACATCCAACAATGCCAACATTGTACCATCGGATCACTTCTTCAGCTATGAAATGCTCAGAGGATACAGCGATCTTCTGGTGAGTTATTTTCCATTCCACTGCCACTTGGTATCGCCAAAAAGGCACACCCTTTGTAGTGTGCTTATTGACAATTCCAGCCCAATCGAAGTCTTGATGACGACAAATGGCTAGCTGCCCACATACTCAAGGAGACTCCAGCTGCATTGACGGCCTGGAACAAAGAACAGTTCAAAAAGGACAAAAAGAAGTATCTGACTCAAGAACAATGGTTTAGAAGGTACTCCATTTCATCTTTCAAGTATGACGGGCCGTCTTATCTCTGGGCTTCACGGGAACTCAAGCTCTGC